CCACAGAAGCAAATACAAACTTGTAGAGCTCATCGGGTGAAATTGCCGGTGAAGAAAGTTGAGATTCTTGCTGCTCATCAGCACAAAACATGTTCTCCTGTGAACCAGATGATACGTTCATTTCAACATCTTCATCAATCTTGCTTCCAGACGCCCTATGTCTTTCATTATCTTCAGAATCCAAAATTTGATAAGGAGTTAAGATAAATTTAATGTTTAATGTATTCATGCCTAGATCATTGTTTTTAGGTTCAATAGGTTTTACCCGGAGATGCATCAGCGGTTGGAGTAGATGCAGTGGCCTTTTCATTTTTCATTTCCTTGTATGTACCAGCTTTAACCGAGTAGGAATATGCTGTGACTAGTACATCGATTGCCTGAGTAACCTGAGTTGCTGGTCGACGTTCCAAAATAATAGCCCTTGCTATTCCCAAACACAGTTGTTTGGCCTGAAATAACGTACTCAACAATATTATTTAACAATAGTACAACACCATCAAAAGCTCCAACCACGATTACTAGTTAATGACGCCCAACAGTTAGCATAAACCAACTTTCCTGGAGACTCTGAATTCAAGTAATCATATAAAAAGAGCATGTACAGCTGCAAACCATTAAACGTGGAACTCCCGGTCTTTCCTAAGTTAGACATGTATATAACCTTCTCTAACTGCGCAAAACCGTAACTGACGTACAAACACTCTTTATCAATTGTCTATGTTTTATTCCACAACGATTTGCTGCAACAAACAGGTGCTTCATCATGCTTACTTAAACTCCTATCTAGAACACAGAGTAACAGAAAGTGCGGGACCTTATTTGCTTCCGACTTCCTTCTCTGCAGAAATTCTAGAAGAGACGTCCTGTCTGAGCTGCTAGCAGAAATTGCCTGCAGCGCATAATATTAAATACCGAACATTTGTGAAATATCTACAAATTGACTGTCATCTTGATAAACCCATGACAGCTAACTTGCCTCAAGATCCAAATGTATCTTCCATAGAACCTTGTTAGTCTGATCCAGAATAAGGTCTGGAACCAGAAAGGTCCAGCCATCTTCATACATGACTATGTTTTCATTGCTTGTAGATGATTCTGAGCTCTCAATTTCTTTATTAGCACCTTGCGATGATGTGCCGGAGCCTTGGTAACCCCTACACAGCAAAGGAAGAGGTGCAGATACGGGAGCTCGAGAATCCACAAATAAGTCGTAGATGATGACAACCTTTGCATCGATTTGGTGCACAAGTAATAAATTGTCGAGCACGTTCACCGACAATTTGTTTGAGTATATGGGTAAGGAACCCTGTAAAAAAAGAGTCAATGGAATGAACAAAGAAAGAACCGAATTTTGAAAATTATCTCATGTCCAGAACTCGATAAGTTGTTTTGCAATGCCAAATTTAGCAACATAATTAGAGATACAGAACTATTAGCATCATCTACGTATAAGTAGTTACACTTATCTTGCAGTTGCATTAGAGTAACTATTACTAATGAGCAATGATTTACCTATGAACTTGCAACTTAAAAAATTTAGAAGTTCAAACTCATGGAGTCGCAGAAAGTTTCAGTTCAAAGAGAAACACGGTCATGCATGCATTTCAGACAAGTCGACAAAATGTTCAATAAAGATACTGTGTGCAATTAAATCGGCGATGTAACTAGCAGCCAGTAACTGAGAAAATGGAAACTTACTTGTTGAACAACTGCATCTCGGTAAAACCTGTATAGATGCAGTAGCATTGCCTCCCTGTCCACTTGTAAGCAATATATTCGGCCATAGCTGAAAAAGAATGATACAGATATATTCTCCAGATACGTAGTGCAATAAATGACAGAACATTGAAGGAAAAAGAGAAACAGAGATAAGAATCGTACACAGTTACTAAGTGGAGATCTCCAGCAGAGAGAATAGGTTTACTAGTTGATTCAGATCTAGCCATGGTCATCTCAAATCTCGGCAAACGAACAACTCCTGCAGTGGAAAGCTGGAAAAGTGGATCAAATGTTAAAGCTCCAACCACAATTGTTAGAAAAAAAAAATCAATATGTTATTTAATGTTTAACTCATTTCATAAAAACTGAATGAAAAATCTAGTGTATACATCTTAAGGCCAATAACATCAACTTAAACGGATGCAACTTAAAGGTTTCCGAAGTTGGAAAAGCTTTTTCATATAGCAACATTCTCTTCCTTTCTTTTATTTAACTTTTTCAAGGGGTATACCTGAAATCCATTAAATGTCTTGCATTGCAATCCTGACGCAAGAAGAACCAATCGAGTTTCATGTGTATAGATGTACCAAGTCACATTCGCTTTTTTGGTTTCCACCAAACGTAGTGAATTCAACGTAAGATCACAAGCAAACAAGTCCATACCACTGAGACCAAAAAAAAAAATCATTAGAGGGAAGAAAAATAAGAGAAAGCCAAGTGTTAAATATATATCCTAAAATGGAAGAGCTAAAGACAGAAACAACTTGTATAGATTGCTCTATTGAGAAATGAATGTGCAGGCTCAGAAAGCTCAAGTCAAAGGATAAAATTATTCTAAAAAGACAGGCTTACAAGCAAAAGACTCACGTTTAAACAAGTTATTTAGAATTCTCAAAACTGGAAACAGTTCTTTGTAGTCAAAATATGCAAAAAATAAAGCGAGTTTACCTGGTCTTTACAATTGCAAGATCACATAATGGAGAGTCACTCCAAAAGAATCCGAGAATGCTCTCTGAACCGGCCTTGCATTTGTGGTTAAGTATCTGCTTTGTCTCTCGATTAAAAAACTGTATCTCACAGTCGGATCTTTGGACAGCTATTGCTTTTCTATCAAGAGAGAATCTGATTGACAGGATAGGTCCCTCAGTGATAGAATCAACTGAAGGAGATTCTTCTGGGTTAAAGGGGGATGTTTGCCATGAAAAAACCTATACGAAAAAATGGGAAATCAGCAAAGGATATGGATCGATCATCAGGCTAATCAACTATATAAATTATGGTTTAAAGAAAAGAAAAAACACACCTGATTAGATGTGGTACAGATTAGCAATCTGTTGGCATCGTCATAGAACATCCCCCTGGATTCAGGAATATTGCAACGAAGGGATGGATGATTTATATACACATGTGATAAAGCACCAGAACCAACACTTGTCTGTGAACTTGAATTCCTGCTAGACATATTATAACTTTTCAGTTTTTCGAATTTCTCATACGAACCAAACTGTAGTCCAAATTAAATTGTTATGAAATAGATGTGCCACTTATGATGGGACAGAGTCACTTTCAGTTTTATAATTAACAAACAAATCACAAGTCTATCAGTCAGTATTATTTCACCAAGAATATGAAAGTGAAAATGAGAAAAAAGGCATACATGTTAAAACTCCCAGCAGTAATGACAAATGCGAAGGAGAATAATTGTGATTCAAGCCTTTCCCCGGATCTGTAAAAAAAAAAAACATGATAGTAGAACAGATTAGTCTAAAATGATGAGGATACTATGATCAAGACATGTCTCTTGCAAGAAAGATCATTATACCGTATGTTGCATACAAATCTTTAGTGCAAGAAACTCTTTCAAGCATATATCTCTTTCAACCTCATGAACTTTAGATGCAACACAACTCCCGTAGTCTTTAGCCTGTGACAAATGCACTTTTAGTCAATAACAAGGATTGGATCTTCACAAGACAAAAGAAAGTTTGATGCTTCACAATTGACATAATAAAACTCTACTCTCTCCCACAAACTCATTGTTTGATATACATGACGCACATAGCCACTATGAAAAGCTATCACATACTAATCATGAAACTAATGAGACTCGAAGTCAGAAAAGAAACTGGAGTAATCGGAGTAGCCAAGCAAAACCTGTTTAGAGCAAGTAGCTAAAATCCGTCCAAGTGTGGAGGCGGTAGTGAAATTTTTTTCTTTCATGCCTGCATTGCTGAAGCTGAAAGCAAAAATTGCAAGTTGGTCACCGCACATTGATATCTTACCAACACAGCAAATCGGCCAACAATTTCACCCAATTAGCAAAATATTAAACCCATTATATGGAATCAGAGACTAAACAAAGAGGAAATCGAAGACTAGGCAATTAAAACACAGATTACCTCGAATGTCAAATATGAAAATGGAAGACGTGATGAACACAAGAGTGTTACCTGCGAATACCCAGGTGGAAATGAATCTAAACACAGTGGTAAAGGTTGCTCCGAATAGTTCGATTCAGACAGAAACGTTGCTGCTCGAGTTTGATACAAAACAGTCCTCGGCTTGCTCGTCGGGAAATTGATGATAGGTGTTCAACGACGAGCGATCGCCGTGTGCAAACCGAATGATAATGAATGGGCTAGACACGTATGGATATGTCATTATTATTGGGCCTGAAGACCCATTACGACCCATAATAGCAATATGGTCTCATACGAATACCGGAATAAAATCAAGCCAAACCAATGAACCGGGCTAAATCGGCCAGAGTCAGTCAACCGGATATCTAAGACATTCTCCACTCACTTGGTTCCTCTTGCGAAAAATGGTTACGTTTTTTTCGTCATCACGTCGTGACATCTCGAAGTGCATTTGACTCTCTCGTTATATAAAATAAAATTATGAAAACAAAAAGAACAATATATTTGCATGGCCATAATCTAAGCATCGAAGGTCTGCATTTACGAAGATAGCGCCATAGCATGACTTTCTTGGGACGAGGATCATGGGTGCGAGTAAATATACTTGTTGAACAACATACGTTATGTTGCATGAGACAATTTCACATGACAAATTTATCTACTAATGACAATAGTTTGTTGAAGTAGATTAATGAAGTGCTGAAAAGTCTCAAAGAACTTGGAGACTTACATTTGTCTTGTCTGCTGGAAATAATTTTAATCAGCATGCTCACTGAATTTTGCAAATTAATTTGAAATTCAACGTGTGAAGAAATCTATATATAAAGGGCTAAAGAATGATAAGAAGAAGAGGGCATAAGAATCAAAGTGGTGCTTGGTGAAGAGAGAGATGAGAGGCGCATTACCAAACTCTTACCATTCTTACACTTTCTTCCTGTTCATTGTCTTAGCTCTGTTTCGTCATGTGTTCTCGACCAATACTTTGTCATCTACAGAAACTCTGACAATCTCGAGCAACCGAACCATTGTCTCTCCCGGTGATGTCTTCGAACTTGGTTTCTTTAAGACCACTACGAGCTCTCGAAATGGTGATCGTTGGTATCTTGGGATTTGGTACAAGTCAACCTCTGATAGAGCTTATGTGTGGGTTGCCAACAGAGACAGTCCTCTTTCTAAATCCACTGGAACATTAAAGATCTCTTATGCTAACCTCGTCCTCCTTGATCATTCTAATACTCCTGTCTGGTCAACGAATCTGAAGAGAACGGCGAAATCTCCAGTGGTGGCAGAGCTTCTCGCTAACGGCAACTTCGTTCTTAGAGACTCCAAAAGAAACGTTCGAAATCGATTCTTGTGGCAAAGCTTTGATTTTCCTGTGAATACTTTGCTCCCGGAGATGAAAATTGGTAGGAATCTCAAAACAGGACACAAGAGTTTCCTCAGTTCTTGGAGAAGCCCTCATGATCCCTCGAGCGGAGACTTCGCTTTCAAACTCGATACTCAAGGGCTACCTGAGTTTTATCTTTACAGGAATGAGTTTCTACTGTTCCGATCCGGTTCGTGGGATGGAGTCCGGTTTAGTGGCATGCCGACGATGCAAAAATGGAGCTACTTTGGCGTTGTTAACAACTTCATAGAGAACAGAGAGGAAGTTGCTTACAGTTTCAAAGTCACGAACCAAAGCCTCCACTCAAGATTTACATTGACTTCCGAAGGGTTATTACAGATGTTCCAATGGGATTCGACATCATTGGTATGGAATTTGATTTGGATTTTAGCCTACGAGGAATGCGATCTGTACCAAATATGTGGTCCTTACAGTTATTGTGACATGAAAACGTCACCGACGTGTAATTGTATCAAAGGCTTCGTTCCAAAGAATGTGACGGCTTCGGCTCTAGGAGATATATCCCATGGTTGTGTGAGGAAGTCACGACTGAACTGCCACGGGAATGTTTTTTTCTTGGTGAAGAGGATGAAGCTGCCGGATACAAGCACAGCAATTGTGGACAATAGAATTGGGTTGCATGAATGTGAGGAGAGGTGTTCTCAGAATTGTAACTGTACCGGGTTTGCGAATAAGGATATCCGTAATGGTGGGTCGGGTTGTGTGATTTGGACTAGAGAGCTCCGAGATATGAGGAATTATGGCACTGGAGGTCAAGATCTTTATGTCAAAGTAGGCCTCTATGATTAGACATGAATACTGGATATCCATATCCACTAAAAAAATATTTAAGAATAATAATACAAAATTGGGTAAAGTATTATATCCAACTTCGAAAAGTCCATATCCAACTAGAATTTCTTATCGGATTAGATCAAACACTTATACATCAACACGAGTGAGTGAGTATTAGATTTTGGGCAAGCACGAAGATAACAACATTTTCTTTCTTCTTCATATATTATTACAAATCAACGTAAAATATATTAGACACAACACGTACGATTACACACGGAATGAAAAAAGCAAAGAAAGATAAAAAGAAAGGATTGATGATTCTGTTTGGTCTGGTTTAGTGAGATATGGATTTTAAGCTCTTCCTTTCAAGACATGCCTTCTTAAACCGGGAATGTGAACGTTTGTAATGTAGTCTTTCCAATTAATGCTTCCAACATCAAACCCAAACTCTCTCTTCTCGTCCTCTGACATCTTCTCCATTAATCTCTGTGTATTGCTGTTATCAAATCTGTAAAAGAAACACAAAACAAATGATGAAAACGTTGCGGTCTGCTCTAAGAATTAAAACATAGATATTAGTTCTGTCTCACCTTCCACCATAGAAAGTGTATGGCTCATAAATAGTGGCAAGGTGTTTGGCTTGTTCAACAGATTTCTTGCATATAAACTTAAGCTTCTGCATCATCTTACTATCCGCTGAGCTCATACCACTCATCAACCCACTCCGTTCTTGAGCATCTCTCCACAAATGATCCGAGAAATCATCAACGGAATTGAAAAGTTTCATCAAACGCACCATAATAGGATCACCTTTCGAGTCCATGCATGGGGATGACTTGTAGTGGTTATAAAGAAGCTCCGCTAATTCTTCGAAAACCAGGGGATTTATGGCCGAGGAAGCGATCTGATACACGTTTATTTCAGGTTCCGGATCCGTAGTTGACATTCCATGCTTTGCTATGGCAGCTAATGTTGCATTAACAACCATATCAGCAGGAACCACATCAAGAACTCCTTTTGGATCAACCAAAAACCCCGTGAGTTGTCCCTTCCCGTAACATAGAACTATAGGATCCATCATCCTGATAGCATATAACACAATCGAAGAAGAAGAAGAATCAGTTTTAGTAAGTACACATTCACAGTTACATATATGCAGCAGATTAAAATACAGTTTCACCTGTTTCCTTCCATCCATCCAGGGAAAGGGTCTTTGTATGTGCTCTCAATGACGCTAGGCCTTATAATAACCACAGGTACGTCTCCTCGAGTGCTATTGATCATCATCTCTCCCATTGCTTTGGTGAAGACATAAGTGTCTTGCCATCCATATGATCTTGCCCTGTTTTATTAATTGGTGTAATTAAGCTTGTTGCAAAAAGTTAAGCTGAAGATTTTAGAGATTTTAATACCTCTCCAGACCGAGATCCTTCATCTTTTGCGCCTCATCTTGATTCTGAGCACCTTTTGTAGCAGCTTCAAGAGCTAACTCCATCTCTCTATCAACATCTAATGCTTTTCTATTTCCTTCGATGAAGTTCTCGGTTGCTATACAGTCTCCCATTGAGAATGGCTTCTCCATGATCCTTCCTTGTCTTTGTCCATTCACATAAGCTGCACACAATTTTATTTTTTGTTTCTTATATTAATCAAATGAAGAAACCGGAAAAAACATCAGAAAAGCTCTGTTTTGTTTTGTTGTCACATTCACGTACCTGTGGATACTTGCAAAAACAGCTTGAGTTTCTTGCACTTCTTGGCGAATCCCATGAGATTACCGGGACCTCTTGTGTTTATGTCCAGAGCAACATCGTATCTTCAATCTCCGCCACAAATACAACAAGATTAGTAAACCAAGATGTATTGATAGTATCTAGATGACTAAACAAGATAACTCAAAGAAAGCGTAATCTGACAATTGCCAACCTTTCATTGAAGGTTGTATTGGCAGCAGAGTTGATAATCACATCAACTTCTTTCGCAATCTCCTCAGCTGAATCTGCCTGCAGCCCAATGTCTGAATCGCAAATGTTTCCCGTCACAGGGATGAGTTTGGTTAACATGAAAGACATGTATGATGATCCGTGAGTCTCTCGTAGAGTATTAAAAAGCTCTGCATCTAACACCTGTACACAAGGAGCGATCTCGTTGGCCAGAGTTATGAAACTTACAGGTACAGAACTTGACTAACAAAGAATGAGAAATGAAAAGGACTTTACCTCGTTCTTTAGCCGCTCGATCGCAGCTTCTTTGTTTTTAGCTTTAATCAAGAGATATATCTTGCTGACATCAGGAGCTATTCTCAAGACTTTCTCAATCAGCACTAGAGATATCGAAAAGAGAAATGATTTAGCTAGAGTCGGGAAGTTGTGGAATATAATAAAGATACATCTTTTTTACCTTTAGCTAGGAAACCGGTGGAACCAGTGATTAGAAACTTCTTCCCTTGGAGGAAACTGATTATGCCAAGTCCTTCTTTCATTCCCACCATAGCAGCGTCACTAAAAGGCATCAGAGTCTTTACTCCATTGATCTCAATGGTTCTCCCGTTCCCGTTTGGAGACAGAACCAACGTCTCAGCGTCCACAGCTGGCGAACTCGGTTCCCTAATCAGTACTTGACCTCTGTCTTTCAAAAGGGAGGAAACCCGAATAGGCCTCTCTGCGTTACTGTTTCTCCCACCATCACTACCACCACCACCACCTACACGACACCATGTGAAGCCTACCCTTCTCTTCTGCCTAACCAATGTAGACCAGTCACAAGGGTTGTGCGATCTAGAAAGCTTGTTTGATGCAGCAATGAAGGAAGAAGAAGAACTCAAGAAGAGAGCCTCCATCACAAGCTAAGAAATAAGAAATAGAGAGAGGGTCATTTCTAAATAAGACTATCAAAAATATCTGTCGACACTGTACGATTCTAAAACAAATAGCACTGTATTCTACATTAAATTATTCATTTGAGGAAATAGAAACTTGTTGGTTAAGAAATTGGTGACTTGTAATATACTTAACCTAGAAAGCACACCTTTGGTGATGAACAACAAGAATATACTTGAATTAGAAAGAGATTAAGTATACCAAGACAGAATTTAAATTTTTTCTTATTTTTTTTTTATCGTTAAGAGACAAGTAAGTTTGTTTTGTTTTTATAAGAGGAATGAAAGATTGGTTAGTTCTAAGGACAAAAGATGATGAAAAACTTCCTCTGTTTTGTAGGCACATAAATATTTAGAAAATCAACTGAAACAAAAGATTGCCTTACGATCTTCTTTCCAACATTTGATCAGCTTCCTACACGTGATTTAGGTTTAAAAAAAAAAAAAAAATTGCATGAACAGTTTCAATTAAAAAAACAAAAAAAATCATCATTAACCTATAAGAAATCAACCAACGGTAAATACCTAACTTGAAAAAAAAATCTCAAGAAAAATATCAAGTCTCATTTCTTCGTGTTGGGATTTAGGTAATTCACATCACATCTTAAGAGTACATGTGTTTGTATGAAATGATTCATCCCTTAACCTCCAGAACAAATTCAGCTTGTGGCGCAAACACGGACGGACCAGCCGACTTGGGTTCAGTCGGGAATAGTAACGGCTACAAAAACCAGTTAGGAAATGGCCACGTTCTGTATCACTTGTCTTAACTCTTATTAACTGTGTCATAGACTCATAGTTTATGTCTACTGAGAACAAAATCCTCACAGTAATTGTTTCTGAGATCAGATATATATGTTCCACATTTCGTAATGTAGTGGAAACGCGAAATCAGTAAAGCACTATTTCATTCTGGGAAAAGCAGGATATAATCACTATTCACTAGCATAGATGTCAAACGTTAAAATACAAAAGCTACCATAGCGTGCTAAGGAAATGAAACCAAACAACACAATGGTTTCTCCACATCGGTCTCAAAGAGTTCTTCCACATCGGTCTCAAAGAGTACTAGATCACTCATATATTACTAACTCCCACAGTGACAGTGTAACACCAACACCAGACGCCATCTTCTTCATCACCTCCTTAGCTCATAGCAACTCACCTTCAGTAGCTTGGACTCGGGCTTCTGCTTCTTGTATCATATCGAGACCTTGAGCTTGACCTCGAGTATGATCCCTCCTTATCCCCTGGGGAAACCGATCTGCTCAAAATGTACAATATTATGGTATGTGAATTTACGAAGATATACATTGAGAAAGCAAGATCATATATGCTTACCCCTAAAGAGTTAGAACCAAAACCAGTATCAGATAAACTGATCTTATAGTAGATTTCGTTACACATTAGAGACTATTTTCCTCGAAACAAAAATTCAAAAACCTAAAATCGAAACTGGGATTGAACATCTCTATCACAGTACCTTGAATGGCGTCTTTCGTCATATGGTGAACGGGTATAGCTTCTTCTGTAGTTCGGTGAACGCGAATAACCAGGAGACCGGGAATAACCATGTGGAGATCTTGTAGATGTTCTGCCCCTGAAATTGATATTCAACTTCTTTATTTTTTTCAACAAACCCAAAACAGAGAGAAAGCTGCAAACAGTTGAATAGTTTGGATAAAGAAACTTAAGATGTTAATCAACAAGCTAATTTGGTGAAATTCAACCCTCACCTTGAACGTTCTCTCATTTCTGAGGGCTTCTTTCTGTTCTCCTCCGCAAATACTACAGTAATTTCACGTCCAAGGAGAACATAGCCATCTAAATGATACTTTGCATCTGCAGCATCAGCAGGATCATAGTACTGCACAAACCCAAACCCACGAGGCTCCCTGCAAGTTCATAGCATCAAATATCGGGTATACAAATTTTAAAACAAGTAAATCTCCTTCAAACCAAATTTGGTGTTAGAGATTCATTAAAAGGAAACTTCAAACTAGACATAAAAAAACACTTAGAAGTTAAAACCAACACAGGGGGAACCGAATCTATCAAACATAAACAATCAGCAGGGGGAACCAAATCGATCAAACATAAACAATCAGCAGGCTGCTAACCTTTTTGAATCCACTGTACTAACTTCAAATTTGACAAGAACATCTTCAAAATGAAATAAAAACCAACTTCCTTCTCAATCAGGAAGTATTAAACTGTCAACAACAATACTCACTTACCCTCTGTAGTCCCGAATAAAGAATTCTTACTACTTCACTGATCTCAGGCACATAAATCTTCCTACTTCTTCATCTTCAACACTTCCAATAAGACAACCAAAATTTGATAAACCAATAGTCTTATTCTTACAAAAAGGCTAGCTGGCTAGGACAGCAAAAAGTCATACAAATGGAAGAAATTAGTGGTAAGAAGTTGCAATCACTCACCCAGTGTAATAATTACGAGGTATATAGATATCCTTGAGACAACCAAACCGCCCAAACGGTCTGCGGAGATCATCTTGCCTGAAATGGTAAACAAAAATTGGAGGATTTATAAATGTCAGAAGGTGAAGACTTCAAACATTTCTTGTTTTCGAAATCAATCAATTACACAAATCCAGAGGGGGGTATAATGCACAAATAACTAAAAGAAGAATGAGCAGATCAGTATTCGATTACCTACAGTCGTGTCTGAGATTGCGAACCAGTAGACTGGTTGGGGGATCTCTACTCCTACCTCTGTAGTATCCCACAGGACTTGGGCTTCTGTACCTTCTACCATAACTCCTTGGTGGTGAAGGACTGTAACTACAGCTCCTCCCCATTATCACTTAAGAAGTTACAACCTGTAAAAATCCAGAGAGCTAAACCTATTTAGACTTCAAATTGGAGACGGTAACAAAATTTAAGTTCGTCAGAGAAACATCCGTAGCAGAGTAATTCACCAAAACTGAATGTATCTTCATAAAATCCTACATATTTTGTTGCCAGAAGCTCAAAAAAAAAAAAGTGACAATTTCCAGCTAAACGTTTAACATTTTTTTACATCAGATTACTTAAAAGTCTGAAATAAGACGACGAAACGAAACGAAGACAAAAGATGCAGTGATAAAAATCGAATCCATATATTTATACAAAAATAGAAGCATCTATGAATATAAGTAAAACGAATCATATCAGGAAGAACAAAAAAGGAAGCTTCAAAATAGCATAAAGATAATGCGACAAATGTTTTCCAATAGTGACCTGTACAAAACGGGACGAAAGAAGAGATTCATAGCATCGGAAACACAAGTTCATAGCTCAAACGAACAAGTTCATGGAAATCTCAAAAGCAGATTAACAGAAACACATGCAAAAACTATATGATTGTGAAAATAAAACCTGATGAGAGAGAATCCCACAAGAGAAACTCAGTTTCGTCGCCGGTGCTCTCTCTTTTTCTCTCTGATGAGATTTTTCTACTAGGCGATGGTCGTCTTTATTCGAGAACGTTCTACAATGGGCCTTTGATTTATCTACAATAATGGCCCATATAAGCCCATTACGTTTTTATTTTAGGTTAAAATCCAAACGACCGGTTCTTAATTTTCAATTTCTGGTTAAAATTACAAACCAGGCGGTTCCCAGAAAACCCTACAAAACTTCTTCTTCTTCATTAGTGTTAAACCCTACACAAAAAACGAGCTCCGAACTCTCTCGCGTCCGCCATTGGAGATATGGTGATACCGTCGAAGAAATTTTCCAATGGAAAACGTCATGAATCTACAAAGTCCTTTAAACCAACGAAGAAACCGTTTAAAAAGTCCAAGGACGATGTAGCTGCAAGGTCTGAAGCCATGGCTCTGCAGCTCGAAGATGTTCCTGACTTCCCTCGAGGTTTGTTTCTCCCTCTAATTTCTGTTCCTATGCAAGGAACAATTCAGTTTGTTTTTTTACTCGGTGTCATGATTCACAAGCATGTGATTAGGTAGCTAAATATGAAATGGTTGGCTTCATGTCTCTCTGTTCTGAGCATCCCCTTCAGTTACTCGTTGCTGATGTGTTTTAATTGATTGTCAGGTGGAGGTACTTCTCTGAGTAAAAAGGAGCGTGAGAAAATTTATGAAGAAGTGGATGCTGAGTTTGACGCTGATGAGCGTGTTTCTAAGAAGAGTAAAGGGGGCAAGCCTAAAAAGAGAACACCTAGCGATGCAGACGAATTGGGATTGCTTTTTGGCGGCCTTACCGGAAAACGGCCAAGATATGCCAATAAGATTACCACTAAGGTATATAACTCGGAACTGTCGTATATGTTTGAGTTGTCCAACAAGGTCATGTCTGTATCCCCCATGATAGCTCTAAACATTTTTTTAGTCAGAATTGGCTAAGGGACCTATGCTTGTTACATCTTACATGCCGCATTGTTCGCCTTTGCTTCTTTCATTGCCTTTTATTGACTCAACTCAGAATTTTTTTTTCTGCATCCTAAAACATATTTTTCCTGTACATACAAATAAAGCTCAGAAATTAATGGTTTGATCAAACATTATTGGAAAACTAGCTCAACCTAGATTGAATCAAGATGCTGATCCGTATATGTAACATTAAACTACAGTGACTAAGTTTCTGAATCAATGTCCGCTGATGATTTATCTAGAAAGATAGTTCTTACATCAGATAATTATGCTTGTTTTCTCGTGTTAGACATGTGCGCTATTCAGTTGGTGCACGGACCTATGTTATTTTAGCTTTTTATTGACATCCATCTATCCTCATAGATACTGATGCATTATGCTACTGTCCTAGAAGTGTTTCTTAAGCAGATTACATCTCTTTTTCTTTTTTTTTTTTTGTAAACCTAAAAACCAAGCAGATTACATCTCTATTTATCCCATTCTGATGTTTATGCAAATATATGTTCAGAATATTGCCCCAGGAATGAAGCTTTTGGGAGTTGTTACTGAAGTAAACCAGAAGGATATTGTAATTAGTCTTCCAGGGGGGTTACGTGGGTTAGTTCGCGCAAGTGAGGCATCGGATTTTACAGATCTTGGAATTGAGGTAACTGCTGTAGGCTATAACTGGCTGTGTTCGTTGTTCAATGGTCATCTCTTTCCTTTATCTTTTCTGCAATCTGATTAGAGTTAATCGTCTTTTTGTAAACCAGGACGATGAAAATGAACTCCTTGGAGACATTATTTCTGTGGGTCAGCTTGTTCCCTGCATTGTATTGCAGTTAGATGATGATAAGAAGGAGGCGGGCAAAAGGAAAATATGGCTTTCATTGCGGCTTTCTCTATTGCACAAGGGATTCAGTTTTGATTCTTTTCAACTAGGGATGGTATGTCAACACTTGGTTCACTTTCCTTTAATTTCGCAGTTATCTTAGTTTATTGGTATAGCCAAAGCGATTTAAAGAGCCAAAATGAGATGAGAGAGTTCATGGCTGATCAGGCTGACTTAATTTATTAAGTTGCATATGTGAGCTTTTTTTATAATGAAATTAAGCTGTATATTTGGTATCAAATGAACTGGGGTCGTACTTTACACCTCAGTTTTTAATTGCTGATAGAGGTTAAATCTTACAGCTTCTATATATAGGTTATGATGTTTTGTATGAAATAATAATTTTTTAATAATTTTTATTTCATTTCCATAACGCTTAGGTGTTTTCTGCTAACGTGAAAAGTGTCGAAGACCATGGTTATATCCTTCACTTTGGATTACCTTCTATCACAGGATTTATCGAGATAAGCAATGATGGTAAGAAACCAGGTTGACCTTCAACACTGGTCTCTTAGCTCTTTTTCTCACTTTGAACTTTATTTCATCAGGAGCTTTAACATACATCATGATAAAGTTGGTCATCTATGTCCAACTAAGGGAAACACTTCAGAGAATTCTAATCTCATTTCATTTTCAAATACCTTTATGGATGCCTTTGATCTTTTTTTAAGAACTTCGTGTCTTTTGGGTTTTGCTTCTGATCATCTTCTTAAAATTTCATTTATCTTTTTCTTAACTTTACAGGAAAGCTGGAGTCAGGAATGAAGACTGGGCAGCTTATTCAGGGCGTGGTTACAAAGATCGATAGAGAACGTAAAATTGTTCGCCTTAATTCTGATCCAGAATCAGTGGCAAAGTGTCTGGTATGCCTTGAACATTCCTTTGATAATTAGAGAGTAAAGGTTTCTTATTTTACACAACCTTAACCACTTTAATACCATTTTGCAGACCAAGGATCTTAATGGCATGTCGTTTGATCTTCTCATCCCAGGCATGATGGTTAATGCTCGTGTTCAATCAGTTCTTGAGAATGGGATACTGTTCGATTTCCTTACATATTTTAATGGAACGGTGAGTTGCTAATGATCCTGATCTTGTACATTATTGCTTGAAAAGGAACTGTCTCTTTCATGTTTAACCCAAAATTTTGTTGGCACCTGTGAGTTACGTTTCTCATCGAATGTGCAGGTTGATCTCTTCCATCTTAAAAACCCATTGTCTAACAAAAGCTGGAAGGATGAGTATAATCAGAATAAGACGGTATGCATTTTGGTGTTACTCTTTTCTGTTTCTTCTGTTTATCTATAGATGTCATCATAGCTTGCAGATCTTGTAGTCCCACCCCCACCTTTAAACATACATTTCATTGTTCAGAATGTTGAGTATTGGTACTTAGCGCATACATTTTTTTCTGTTAGTATGTTTAACACAACTTGAGTTCTTTGGTTACCATAGTTCTGGTAAATTGCTCAAATACTCCTTTTTCTGCAATAATTTCTTTTGCTCTATTGTTGAAAGTTTGCTGTATATGCTTTGTTAACAGATTTATTATTTACGTTTGATTAACTTTCATAAAATAGTCCTAATGTATTTCAGGTTAATGCAAGAATATTGTTTATCGATCCATCATCTAGAGCTGTTGGTTTAACATTGAACCCTCATCTTGTTTGTAATAAGGCTCCTCCGTTGGTAAGTTACCAATTCCTTTCACTTCCACTAAGATATAATGACTAAGAAAATTTGGTTTGACAGCTACTGTTAAGGTTTAAATGAAGGGTCAGTGATTATAACATCAATATCTCTTAAATCCACGATTATTACCAATGTCTACGTGTCTTAAGCTTGAATATAATGACTATCCACTATCTTACAATTTTGATCATCGCCTGGGATACCTTAGACATCATTAATCTCTGTTTAGCCGTCGTGGATTTACTTGTTTCTGCCTATCTGTACTCTTTTGTAGAAATATTTTTGTAAAATTTGTATTGGTTCTTTACAGCATGTCTCTAGCGGCAGCATATTTGACGAAGCAAAAGTAATTCGTATTGATAAATCAGGCCTTCTTCTGGAACTTCCTTCTAATCCCGAAACAACTCCAGCATACGTCAGTGTATGTCCAATGGGCTATCCATATTTCTGAATAGATTTAGCTTTTTGATGTTCTTTGTTAACCTGAGATTTACTGTAATTGCAGACATATGATGCCGCAGGAGATGAAGTAAAGAAACTGGAAAAGAAGTTTAAGGAAGGGAATCACATCCGTGTTCGAATACTTGGCCTTAAGCAGATGGATGGGTTGGCCATAGGAACTTTAAAGGTATTTTTCTGCCAGGCTTATTAGATTTTCTTTTAAGTTCAGTTATTTATATCAACCTCTTCATTGGAATCTAAATGCCTTGTGACATGTATGTTATTTCCCTGTTTTTCATTTGTTTGTTTCCTTCTTTCGTGTTGTTTTTATCTTGAGCAGGAAAGCGCCTTTGAAGGTCCAGTTTTCACCCACTCAGATGTTAAGCCTGGTATGGTTACAAAGGCAAAAATTATATCTGTTGATACGTTTGGTGCCATTGTGCAATTCCCTGGTGGTCTCAAAGCGATGTGCCCACTTCGGCATATGTCTGAGTTTGAAGTTACAAAACCCAGGAAAAAGTTCAAGGTTGGTTACAGTGATCGTACATGACTAATTTGGGATTTTGTTGAGGCATGCATAACTTTTGAATAATGTTCTTTTCCAGGTTGGAGCTGAATTAGTATTCCGTGTACTTGGCTGCAAATCAAAGAGAATAACTGTTACCTACAAGAAATCGCTTGTAAGTTTTCTTACGATAATGGATCTGACTTTGTGAGCTTATTTTCATATTCCTTGATGTCTAGTTTTGTTGGTTAAGAGGAGGCTTATAACTTTTCAAATAATTTCTTCTTATGATATATGATAAATGCATCTCGTTTTTATTATCATTCCTTCTTTTATTTTCATCTGCTGATTCTAAGTTTTACATTTTACACTTGTGTAATTTCTTTCGGGTTAAAAATGGAAAATAAGTTTCTTCTTTATCAAGCGTTTTCACTTATCTATAGATGAATATATTAGAGAGACTTTTGTCCCAAACTTCAATCTTTTTTGGGGGTAAGGAGCGGAAAAATCTATTGCTATTTATTCAGTAACGTAGTGCTATTAACAACTCTGGTTGTTACCTTTTCAACTCTGTTCTCATGCAGTAAAGATGAAATATTTATTCTTTTCAGGTGAAGTCTAAACTTCCAATTTTAAGTTCTTACACTGATGCAACTGAAGGGCTAGTGACGCATGGCTGGATTACAAAGATTGAAAAGCATGGATGTTTTGTTCGCTTTTATAATGGAGTGCAAGGATTTGTTCCCAGGTCATTGCTGCTCTCTTTTGTTGTATTTCAACTACCGTTGCCTTTCAGCTCTGGTTTCCTTATACTGTGATATAGTACATAAGATTTTTCCCATCCTAAAGACTTTGGTTAAGTTTTTCTGTTCTGGTGGTTTTAAACTAATAAGCTATACTGACTTTGATTAAGCAGATTTGAACTTGGTTTAGAGCCTGGAAGTGATCCAGATTCAGTGTTTCATGTCGGAGAGGTTGTAAAATGTAGAGTAACCAGTGTGGTTCATGGTTCTCGAAGGATCACCCTTAGTTTGATGATAAAGCCAGCAAGGTTTTACCTTTTTCAATCTGATAATTATCTTGCCTTAAAGGCTGCCTTAATATCATTTAAATATGTAGCTCAAATTTGTGTAAATCATTTGTCTTAGTGTTTCCGAAGACGATTCAATCAAGTTAGGTAGCATTGTATCAGGGATAATTGATAGTATAACTAGCCAGGCAGTCATTGTCCGTGTTAAATCCAAAGGTGTTCTCAAGGGTACAATTGCTGCTGAACATTTAGCTGATCATCATGGTATGTGTTTTAACCCATACAGACATTCATTTGGGTTTTGCTTTTATTCATCCGTGTCTGAGTTGCTTTTTGTGTGATGTAGAGCAAGCAAAACTAATGAAGTCACTTTTAAGACCTGGATATGAGCTTGATAAGCTGCTGGTATTAGGTATGTTTATTACTATTCATACTAATTTATAGTAGTTTGTTTTCGTAGGTATATCTCCTTAAACACATTTGAAGGAGGTAGACTGTCTAAACTTCACAGTGTTAAATTTTTGATTTACCTCTGCGTGGGTACTGATGGGTTGGAGAGGGATAATTGATAGTTCTTATGAGAGTAGTTCTTTCCACAAATGATTGTTAATTCAGCTTATCTCTCATTGTGTAGTATCTAAAACTAATAAAATGATCCATCTAGTTCCAGTAAGGCAGAGATGACTTTGCAATTAACTATTTTAGTGGTTGATGAGACCTAAATGATTACATAGAGTGATGACTTTTGTTTAATGTAGACATTGAAGGCAACAACATGGCTCTCTCTTCAAAATATTCTCTCATTAAGTTAGCTGAAGAGCTTCCTTCAGATTTTAATCAGCTTCAGCCAAACTCAGTGGTTCATGTGAGTAGTTGCGTCTTTTAAACAGTAGCTCTTTAGTTGATGAATTCGTTCATAAACTCACATTTACTTTTGACTAATTTGTATACAGGGTTATGTTTGTAACTTGATTGAAAATGGCTGCTTTGTCCGTTTTCTTGGTCGGCTGACTGGTTTTGCCCCAAGAAGCAAGGTGGATTGTTTTTTACTATGATTTTTTTTTGTCAAATGTATGTTTGTTAGCATATTTTGTTTCTTGAAATTTGTTGGTTTTTCTTTTGCAGGCAATTGATGAACCCAGGGCAGATCTGTCAGAATCCTTCTTTGTTGGACAATCGGTTCGGGCTAATATAGTTGATGTATGTGCACGCTGGACTCAAGGCCTTATATTAATTTTGTTTAAGATGTTATAATGTTTAGATAACTTGTAATATTTTGCAGGTCAATCAAGAAAAAAGTAGGATAACTCTTTCATTGAAACAGTCATCTTGCGCATCTGTAGATGCTTCTTTTGTCCAAGATTACTTCCTCATGGATGAGAAGGTGGTGTTCTTCTCACATACCTTTTTAATTTTATTGCGCTAAAGAGTTTATGTAAACGATGTATTATATTTTTATTGAGCTTTTGTCAGGGTATTTTACATGTGAATTTTAAGAAGGATTCAGTTCTAACAGTTACTGTTTATTTGTCCAGATATCGGACTTGCAGTCATCTGATATTACTAAAAATGAGTGTAGTTGGGTTGAGAAATTCTCAATTGGGAGTTTGATCAAGGGCACCATAAAGGAACAAAATGATCTGGGTGTGGTGGTGAATTTTGAAAATATAAATAACGTCCTTGGTTTTATACCTCAGCATCATAGTAAGTCATTCTGTACGAAAAGATTAGGTTCAGTTTCATATGTATCATATTTGTATCCGATTAACACATCTGCACATAATCTTTGTCTGATGCATTATGGCTTTTCTGTAGTGGGTGGAGCTACTTTGGTACCTGGTTCTGTTGTCAATGCACTTGTTCTTGATCTTTCTAGGGCAGAGAGACTAGTTGATTTGTCTTTGAGGCCTGAGCTCATAAACAACTTAACTAAGGAGGTGTCCAACAGTCAGTCAAAAAAGGTACCACTCGAAGATGATATATTCTGGCCAACTTTTGTCTTGTTCAAATTTTCTTGCATGCTCATCATAGTTCACATAAGTCCAAATTAGGCTACAGTGGATGTGTATGCTGATCTTAGCTGGCTTATGACAAGTTGTATTTAATATCGCTTCAGAAACGTAAAAGAGTAATCTCCAAGGAACTTGAAGTCCACCAGAGGGTCAATGCTGTAATAGAGATTGTGAAGGAGCAATACTTGGTAAGTATATAATTGCATGAAGTTAATAACTAGTGCATGTTACTCAGAGTTTCCCTTGATTTCAGGTTTTGTCGATTCCAGAGCATGGTTACACTATAGGATATGCATCAGTATCAGACTATAACACACAGAAGTTGCCAGTGAAACAATTTTCCACTGGACAAAGGTGAGTGTGCTATTCATCCATTTATTGACCAATCTCTTATTTAATTTGCTCCCCGTGATCACGGTTCCTATTTTCCCAAGCTCACTTAGCCCTGCCGGATAAAACTAAGAAATTGTGAATTTGTATTTACTTCCACTGGCAGTTGATATTCTATCTACTCTATGTACCTATTGGCAGTAGATATAGCTGTCCTTACTGTATAATTACTTAATCGTAGCTAAGTTTTTGATTAATTTTCTATGGGCAGTGTTGTTGCCTTTGTTGAGGCTGTGCAAAACCCTTTATCGTCTGGGAGGTTGCTTTTACTTCTTGACTCTGTTTCCGGGACTTCTGAGACTTCCCGTTCTAAGAGGGCAAAGAAGAAATCCAGCTGTGAAGTTGGTTCTGCTGTCCACGCCGAGGTTACTATAGACCTTTCTTCTTAAGTCTTTCTTTGTTGCAGTAGAAATTGCGTCACTGTTGTAACGTTAGCAGAATTTAGATATTGTTGAATTACTTTCAACTATAGATGGCAGATCTTTACATAGGTGCAGATAATCTGATAAGAAACAAAGTTTTAGGTTGGCAAGTACCAACTTCTAGTCATCGACAGTGGATAGGTTTTTAGTTGCGTCTATGCCACTATACCTTCTGCTGCCTCATACTAACATCTTATACTTTTCAGATTACTGAAATAAAGCCTTTTGAACTTAGAGTAAACTTTGGCCACAGTTTCCGAGGAAGAATCCATATCACTGAGGTGATTCCTTGTCTTGTTTACCATCATCATTTTAGATTGTAAATCTCGTTCTTTAATACTTGGTGGACTAAGATTTTGCTTATACATCTTAAATCTTGGTTAAATAGGTAAATGATGCAAGTACAAGTGAGGATCCTTTTGCCAAATTCAGAGTCGGGCAATCAATGTCTGCAAGGGTTGTTGCAAAACCGTGTCATACTGATATTAAAAAGAGTCAACTTTGGGAGCTTTCTGTTAAGCCTGCAATGCTTAGAGGTAAACTAATGAGAATTGAAAAATTCTACCAATCATGTTGACCATTGACTCACATTAGGATATATATGGCAGAACAGTGACATGCCCTTAGGGTTTAAAATATTTGTTTTTTAGTTAGTCTATTCTAGCAAACTGTGAGATGGAAATATTTGAATTTTGTTCTACTTAATTGCTCATACAAGGCGATAATATAGTCTCTGTGTCTTTCTCTTTTTGTTGTTGCTATTTAATTAGATTCCAGTGAGTTGAATGATATACAAGAGAGTGAACAACTTGAGTTTGCTGCTGGACAATGTGTTAGTGGATATGTCTACAAAGTGGATAAGGAGTGGGTTTGGTTAGCAATATCTCGCAATGTGACCGCACGCTTGTTCATTTTAGACACTGCATGCGAAGCTCATGAACTTGAGAAGTTTGAAAGGCGTTTTCCCATTGGCAAAGCTGTTTCAGGCTATGTTCTGACATACAATAAAGAGAAAAAAACATTACGGTTGGTTCAGCGTCCACTACTTGATACCCACAAAAGCATTGGCAATGGTGAAGGCAGAAAAACGGATAAACTAGATAGCAGCATTCCTGATGATGATGGTACTCTATTTATTCATGAAGGAGACATTCTGGGTGGAAGAATTTCTAAGATACTTCCTGGTATTGGTGGGATTCGTGTGCAAATAGGTCCTTATGTATTTGGGAGAGTTCATTTTACTGAAATCAATGATTTATGGGTCCCCAATCCCTTAGATGGTTTTCATGAAGGCCAGTTTGTCAAATGCAAGGTCTTAGAAATCAGCAGGTCTAGTAAAGGGACTTGGCAAATTGAACTCTCATTACGGACATCACTAGATGGCATGAATTCTGACCATCTCTCAGAAGATTGTAGTAATAAGTAAGTGTTTCTTTTGCCTATAATTCACATTTGATTTATGTCTAATTAATTGAAAGGCTCATCGTCAACCTTTTGATTCATGGCTGTTTTGTCAGTTTTCAATTTTGAATGAAATAAGTATTACTGGACTATAACTACTAATAGGATTTTCTATCTGTATTGACTTTATTTGAAATTGAAAATTTTCTAATTTACTTACTAACCTGATGATGATTTGCAGTGAAAATGTATGCAAGCGTTTTCAGAGGATTGAAGATCTATCTCCTGATATGGGCGTCCAGGTAAGAACCCTGACTTTGCTACCTATTACTTTCATGGTAGATCTTACGCTAATTTCAAAAAATTTCAGGGTTATGTCAAAAATACAATGTCGAAAGGTTGTTTTATTATACTTTCGAGGACAGTTGAGGCAAAAGTTCTACTTTCCAATCTATGTGATACTTTTGTTAAGGAACCCGAAAAGGAATTCCCAGTAGGAAAACTTGTAACTGGCAGGTAATGCAGACTTCTGTTATAGATATTTGATAATACAGCTTTATATTATGCTCTTACCAGTATACGTTGTAGGGTTTTAAATTTGGAGCCTTTATCTAAGCGGATAGAAGTCACTTTGAAGACAGTAAATGCTGGTGGACATCCAAAATCTGAATCTTATGACTTGACGAAACTCCATGTCGGAGATATAATTTCTGGGAGAATCAAACGTGTGGAGCCCTATGGCTTATTCATTACCATAGATCAAACTGGCATGGTAAAGATCTAGTTTTGTGTATTCCTTAAAATCTGTTATTTACAAACTATATGCTGCTTTAAACCATCCTAGTAGAGTAACCAGACTGGCAATAATTTACTTCATTACCATCTACCTTTTTACCGTAGGATGGATTATGTCACAAAACCCAGCTTTCTGATGATCGTATCGAGAATGTACAAGCCAAATATAAGGCTGGTGAGAGGGTCACCGCAAAGATTTTGAAGGTAGGTTGTCTTTTGTCCTAAATAGTTAGTGCTGTGTAGTATTTTGGATTTATGTTACTATGTATTTAGTGCTGTTCCTTTTCTTTTTGGTGTTTGCTCTAGCTTGACGAGGAACAGGGACGGATATCGCTCGGAATGAAGAGTTCTTATCTTACGAGTGGTGATGTCGAGACACAACCACCTTCTGAAAACAATGCTAATGATGCAAGCATGGAATGTGATTCAATCAATGATCCGAAGTCAGAAGTACTTGCTGCAGTCGGTGATTTTGGGTTCCAAGAAATTAGCGGTGGAAGACATAGCGGAACCTCTGTTGTTCTTGCCCAAGTAGAATCAAGAGCTTCTATCCCTGCGCTTGAGGTTGACCTTGATGACATTGAGGAGATGGACATTGACAACGGCCAGAATCAGGAGAAACTACAGGGAGTCAATAGAGATGAAAAGAGCAAAAGAAGGGAGAAGCAAAAAGACAGGGAGGAAAGGTTGGCTATTTCTTGACTTCCTCATCATGGCTATTTCTTTAGTTCCTTGTTGCAAAACTAAGATGCTATATAGTTGGGTCGAAACATGTTGATAAAATCTACTTGTGTAGAGAAAAAAGAATACAAGCTGCTGAAGGAAGATTGCTGGAGAATCATGCACCTGAGAGTGCTGATGAGTTTGAGAAATTAGTTAGAAGCTCTCCAAACAGCAGCTTTGTCTGGATAAAATATATGGCGTTTATGCTCAGCTTGGCTGATATTGAGAAAGCCAGGTCAATTGCTGAGAGGTACATGTTCCTAATTACTCTTTATCATCACGGAGATACTTACTGATACAGGTTGAGGGCAGAAACTTTTCTTGGGACCTATAAATATTAACTATATAACCGTCTGGATCTAAATCTGCATGTAAAGCATTTACGTTTTACATGTGTTGTTTATTTTTTTAGTCCTGTCTTATACTTAATCTCTACTGAAGGGCCTTGAGTACTATAAATATTCGGGAGGAAGAAGAGAAGCTAAACATATGGGTTGCTTACTTCAATTTGGAAAATGAACATGGAAGTCCTCCAGAGGTAGACAGAAGACTCCAGCAAAAACGCTTTTTAGATGTTATCAACAATAAGCTTATATATTGCTACTAGTTAACCCTCGTCTTTGTATCTCATCTCCAGGAAGCTGTTAAGAAAGTGTTTGAAAGGGCCCGTCAATACTGTGACCCAAAAAAAGTTTACCTTGCACTCTTGGGCGTGTATGAGAGGACAGAGCAAAATAAATTGGCTGATAAGCTACTTGATGAGATGATTAAGAAGTTTAAGCAATCTTGCAAGGTACATGCTGTTTGATCTTTATCTTATTAAAGCAAAGCTTGGCCCGTCTCTCTTTTAACCAATTGTATTTGACGTGTTCTTTTTAGATTTGGTTAAGGAAAGTACAAAGTTCTCTTAAACAAAACGAGGAAGGCATTCAGTCCATTGTGAATCGTGCCTTGCTATGTCTTCCACGCCATAAGCACATTAAGTTCATATCACAAACTGCTATCCTTGAGTTCAAATGTGGAGTTGCGGATAGAGGGAGATCACTGTTTGAAGGCGTTCTTAGGGAATACCCAAAAAGAACAGACTTGTGGAGTGTTTATCTAGACCAAGTTCGTTATATTCTGCTTCTCCAGAATTTATGCTTCATTGCCATCTTTGGTATCATTTCTAACTTTTAATATCATGTTTGTCTTGTACAGGAGATCCGGCTGGGAGAAGTGGATGTTATTAGATCTTTATTCGAGAGAGCCATTAGCTTGAGCTTGCCTCCTAAGAAGATGAAGGTGCGGAATAGCCTGTTCTCTGAATCTCTGTTCCATAAGGTATTTTTGACTAATGCGGATTTTAAACTATTTTGTGTTTTGTGCTCTCAGTTCTTGTTCAAGAAGTACTTGGAATATGAAAAATCTGTTGGTGACGAGGAGAGAGTCGAATACGTGAAACAGAGGGCGATGGAGTATGCAGACAGTACCTTGGCCTGAGATTTTGTTGTAACAAAACACCAATCTTTGTAAAAGCAACCATTGAGCTGTAAGAGTTGCAACCAATAGTGACTCTGTTAAAATTAGACACGCTGTGTAAAACACTGCAATTTTGAGCTCTTGTTACGCTATTTTAAATGACAAGGTTATTGAGTACCATTGAATATAGTGTTTATCTGAGTTATAACGATGTCAAATTTTGCACTAGAGGGTTGCCAACGACCTTGCAATTTGCACTAGATTGATAGGAGTGATTAAAAGGAAACTCTGTTCAAAGTATATGAGGAAATTCTCCAAACCAAAAATAAATAAAAAACGCTGCCAAATGAAATCATCGTAGGGAATGTGGAAGCTAGTTGCTTAAGGTCTCACTGTGAATCAAAGACTGCTTCAGCGTGAATGAGTTCTGCAAAAAGGTTCGCCGCGAGCTATATAGGATTGATAACGATGGTCTCTGGTGACACTCTCAGCAATACTATTCGCTACACGGCGAGACAACTCTATTCTCCATTCTTCAAAGAGGAAACTGTTGTGGGTTAGAGAATGCGTGACTAGCTTGGTTGGATGATGATTCTAGTAAAATCTTGGAAAAATGCAGGTTACTCAAACCTTCTACTGCCCAGACACACCACAGTTTCTACTTTTATTAGCCGAGGAAATCTACTCACATTGCATTTGATGAAGTTCGATGATGGTCTACGCCAATGAGAGATTTCTGTCTGAATTTGAGTCTCTTCTTTATTAGTTTCCAGCCAAATCGTTGCATCTTCTTGAGCTTTTAAGAAAAGAGAAAGATAAAAAACGCGTTTCTGGTCTTCCATTGATGCCATAAAATCCAAGGAAAGGCATAAGATACACTGGAAGAGATGTTTGTATCCTTATGCATGCTAGAAGGTGATGCAAGTTTTAAAAAAACAGAATTACTAGAAAACCCTGTTCCTGGAAAAAGAATATGTAACTTGCCATGCGGCAGGTGAAGAAGAGTACATGGCAAATGGAACTCAGGTTCTGTGCCACATATTTTACACATTAGATCGATCTGGATTCCGCTATACTGCAGTCGGTCTGATACTGCCAAAGCATTCCATAGGAAATGTTTAATCTTTTGTGTTACTTTTAATTTCCAGAGGTTTGACCACATGTTTCTCTTCAGTGGCGACAGGTAAGTGACTTTGCGAAGGCTATGCTCCGGTAATTATTTAGCACAAGAGAAATAAATGTCGTCTCCAATTTATGTAATCCAAATTTTTGAGCAAAAGAAAAAAAACTAAGGAGATTTAATAACTTCGTATCCTTTGTTTAAATTTCACATTATTTGGTTATTCGTCTTTATATACACTATGATACCGAATCCTATGGATGTAAAACCCCACTTCACTCAGCAACTTCTGTACATAGGGGAAGTATCCTCCTCTACAAAATGTTGCAGAGAGAGAAAGAGGATTGCTCGTTAGACTCGTTGTTGCCCTCAAGTACCCAAGGCAGCTCCTCAGACTGGGTATTTGATATTTCCAACTCTTAGCATCCTATACACAATAATGTCGATAAGTTGGTAAGCATTCAATAGTTAGTTTATAGATTCCATATGTAGATTCCAGCTTAAAAGATTATCACCTCAGTTACGCACCATATCAAATTAGTGAATTCGTTAATCATAGAACTGCCGTCCTCTAAATTGCAAGCCTCAGTAAGAAAGCGGGCTGGGAAGAGGATGACCTAGTGTAAAGCGTAATGGACACGCTCGAGCAACTGTACAACTTGGTGTAACATGAGAGGCGGAAAAGAAAGTTGTTTTGAACTTGCTTTTGATGTGCTTTGTGATGGCTGAGGTGTCGATAAAACTGACTCCTGCTGTCTATTTGTAAGCTCCAAGAACTGAGCTAGCATGTCACCATCCAATATCTTTGTTGCTTGGGACTGCAACAAGTGAAAACTTATCTATCATACTAGCAATAATGGATAAGAGCTAAAAATTTAGCAAACTCTGTCCACAGACGAAACATTTAGTGACCCACCGAATGCAAACATTGAAGTGTGAACTCAACTTTTAGAAATGATAATCATCCCAATCTAGATAATTAAAACTTTTTTGGTTCACTTACCTGATTCTCTCGACCTCGGAACTCCTTATGATCGTTACCGAGAACAGGAGCAGTCAGCGGATGGATCCCGAGCTTTGCTTGGACAGCTTTTAAGAGCTCATATTCCTCACTACAGAAATTGGTGATCGGTCATTGAACTTACCACGGAAAATCAGAACAACCAGTGTTTCTGGTGCAAGTTTGTGGGTAGCTAAGTACAACACGTGACAATATATTTTCAAAACTACTTATTACTTCGTACTTGTACAAACGAAATACCATATAAGGTCCATAACTAGATATGTCTTCAGTCAGATATTCAAATCATACCTTGAAATAGGAGCAAAGACAAATATACTTCCCAAGAGCGTGCCTGCTATGATAGTGTCATCAGCTGTGTTAATACTTTTACTAAGACCATTACTTTGCAGTCCATCATCAGCTGGAAGTTTATAAATGTTGCAACCCTGTAAAGAAGGTGGGGGCAAGCAGAAATGAATTGACATACATAAAAACATATATCTTATTGATTAAGCACACCAAAAAGGAATCAAGATAGCAGCATTAGCCTTTTTATTTATAATATTATAGTGAGATGCTGGCTTTAAGTCTAGGGTTTACCTTTTTGATAGCCATGGCAATCTCTCCCATGAAATAAGCACAGTTTAGATTCAGATTGGACTCCGGACTTGAATATTCTGGATCATCACAAGGTAGTTTCAGTTAGCAAATTCTTCTGAATCATAAAAATTAGCCACTATAAGAGTATTTTCAAATCCCACGGTTTGTTTTAAAGCACCTAAAAGAATCGTTAGAACAAGGAAGATCAGCAGAGACTAGATACTAAATTTAGCCCTACTATCAAGCAATCAATTTTAATAACTTTGTTCACTTCATTCTGAACTAAGCTGCATGCTCTGCAAATCTTAAAGAAGATTGGATACTCCTCCAACTGTGATACACCACTTAGCTGACACAGCATGTACTATTTCGACAGGATGTATGCTACACAATGGACAGGATGTATGCTACACATTAATAAAAGATAGCATCTATAAATCTACAAGATCACACTTTTCTAACTGAGTAAACATTGTTCGATAAAAGCTAAACTCGAAATATGGAAGAGTGAAAAGAGAGCAATATCTGAGCTAACTAGAAAAGGCTAAGTGCTTTCGTACCAAAGTCTGAATGATCTTTGCAAGACAGGATTGCTATACTCCCTTTGCGATCAGATACAGCAACAGAATTGCCATCCATTAGAAAGCAGTCAGCAACTAACCTCTGCGCCGGATCACAATATATTTGGAGAAGTTTCTTCGAGTCCTTCAATAACATGAAAAAAGAAAAGAGAATCTCAAATATTTTTAGCCAAAATCAAGTACCCAAACAAATCAGAAGAGATATAAGAAAGAAACACTGGAAGGTAATGTTCATTAGTGACAACAGAACAAACCTCGTGATAAGAATAAAATAAAACACCGTCACGGCAATCACCAACGACAATTCTAGTAAAGTATGTTCGCAGAGATGTTATCATAAAACGAGTCCTTCCCACCGCAAACCTCTTCATTCTCTCAGGATTATCGTTCGGAAAACCACATACATAGAACTATTGAAGACCATAATCTTTGTTAGCAGATTAACATGCTAAATAGTTGGCAACAAAACTATAGATCATCAAAGTAAGGCTTACAGCATTGCCGGCAGACGCCAGGAAGTAATGATCAAGGTATGGACAGATTGCAAGTACCATACCCGGCCAAGTGGTTGAAGAGGCCAATCTTAACTGCCATGTTTCAGCTTCATCAAGCTTGATTCCATCATAGCTGTTATCATCTGGACTGCTACAGAGACTACTGCTTGATAGTTGTTCTGATGCGTATCCCACAACATCACGAAAAGGTGATGTACGTTGAGAAGAAGAACCAGCCTTTGAACAAATTGTCATTGAGCCACTATCCGAATTATGAGTGTGTTCTAAGGAAAGAATGATTAATCGTCCTTTTGTACTGTAAAAAAAAGCATTCAAAGGCAGACACACGGTCAGCACAAAGTTCTTCTTACATCAGTCACCACTTTCACTCCATGGTCAAGTTAAAAAGTCGCTAAGATCCAGATTTCAAACCTTTCAGCTTCACCACTGGGTAGTATAGCAGGACCAGAAGACAAACTCGTCCCAACCACAAGGACATGCTCATTACCCACACGCACAAGCTCCATTGACTTTCCAGTTTCTCCAGGTTTGAGCTTGTAAGATGATAAGACTGACCCACTGAGCGGGTCCACACAGCATATATCAGACGTACACGTATCATACAGATCCGTTCTCATGACAATTAATAGTTTGCTTTCACTATGGTAGATAACCTTTCGCGGGGTGCCTCCAAGGTGAAATTTTTGTGCATTAAGCCGTTTGCTGTGCACCATCTCAACCTACAAAGGAAGCATACACATCAGGCGATCATAGCCTTAAATAATAGCCTCCAACACATTCCCACAACTGTCTATCTTGTATAAGTCTACGAAAACATAGATATAAGCAATTAGCAAATACAGTTGATATCTATTTTTCAAGTAAACTATATCAAATTATTAACCATTGATTGATGAAATTTGATTTTCTTTGTCCAAACCATAACACAATGGTCCGTGAAAATCTATACAAATTTATAAAATAGAATATTTACCAGATGTAAACAGTTCTCTGAAACAAAAAGAACTCCTTGAGGGCATTCAGACGAACATACAGGAGTTGCATGAGTAGAAGGTTGGAATGAGATGGAAGTATAAGAAAGGCTTTGTCGAGCTGTTTGTAACAACCATGGCCTGTCACTAAGAGCTATGATGTCTGAATCAAGTGAATCACTGAACGGAACCAAGAAAACAGGTGTGATGCCAATGCGTCGGGTGGCAATTAACAGAAGGTTGATTGGTAAATCGTCTCTTTTGCCCACAACAATGTCCATCTCTTCTTTACAATAACTAAAATAATCTGGACAATTCAACCCGGATGTATGTGAAAAAGGGGGCCACTCAAAACGAAGCAGCATCCCATTTCTCAACCCAGAAAGGACATAAAGTTGATCAACTAACACGAGTCTTACATCTTGAGGAATGCATCCACTAATAACAGTTCCCATCGTATTTGTTAATGATACCAATCCAGAAGCAAGGACTCGTACACCGACACCATCTTCTGAGAAGGAGAGGACCTCAACAGAAGGCTTATGTGTGCCAATCAAAAACGTATAGCCTTGCTCCATACCAGAAGGAATTGCAGCTTTGCAACTATTATCCAGGGAAGAAGCACGGGATCTCTTTTTTCCAATATTTTTTTGAGGAACTGAGATGCAGGAAACTTCATACTGCAATGTTACTCGTTGAATTTCATAGATTTCACAGGATTGAGATGATAGTGATTTGATCCCAAGAATGGACAAGAAACAAGGGTTAGACGTAGAGACAACTATCAAATTTTGACCAACTGCACCCAAGCTGATACTGACATTTTCTGGAAACCACGACGAGAAAAATGGTGAAGAGACGGGAATACCATCAGAATGAGCATCCGTTGTGGGCATGCACAGTCTTATTGCATCTTGGTGAATCTGAACCAACAACCCATCAGCAACAATCCCACATGCCAAGGTGCAAACATCAGACTGGAAACCAACTGAATCAGTGACATCTTTAAAGCTTAAACCAACTGATAAAATCCTGGTCTCCTCAACAAATGACAAAACAAGAAATGAATGGTATACATCAGTAAGCTTCATTTTAACAGTCCAAGTACCAGTTATTCCTTGATAAACAGGCGCGGTTTTCAGAAGTTTTTCTACATTAATGCCACTACGAATAATTCTCAAGGAGCCTTCAGGGGTTACACCACAGCAAGCAAATATTTGGTCTCGTTTCTCATTTTGGTCATCCATAACTGAAAAATCCAAGATCGGAGCAATATTTTGTATGGAACTCATCCAATGTAGCTTTTCAGTTCCCAATCTGAAAACCGTTCCATCTGCCATTTCTGCAAACGTAGCCAAGAATCCACCGTCGACCCATAAAATTTTGTTGCATGGTAAACCTTTGTATAAACACTCTGATAGATTTACTTTAACCCCATCATCTTCATATATGAGTTCAAACATGAAAAATTCACCATCATCCAAGCAAATAATCATCCGCGGATTATGATTAATTTCTGGCTCCCAAGTCCATGAAGAGACATGCTTAGAACTCAGCTTTCCAATGTCGCTTTCAGTATCTATGAACATGGGATCATAATCCCTGAGCTCTAACAAAGCACATGCAGCAACATTAAAAAGGCCCTCATCGTCTCCATCTTGTACTCTACATGAGTCTTCAACAAAATGCTCTTCCACTAATGAAGCAGGAACAAGATCTAAGGATGTCCTAAACAGACAGCAAGGGTTTTGGGGATCTCTAAGATCCATTAAGAGCGCATCACCAATCCTAAACAGAAAGGCAAATCCAGAGGAGTGAGGAACTTCGACAATACTATGTGCTAGAGCCCCAGCTTCAACATACTCTGATATTAAACACATGGATTCCTCTTTGACATTCCATCTAAATAGAACCAGCTCATTTATGAGAGACCCTTTCCTATACAAATAGAAAAACACCTAAGTAAGTAACCCTGGGATGACAGACGTCTCATGAAGCAAGCACAATAACTGAAAACAGAGATTTTCAAACTGAAAGCACTCATACCTATTTATAACAATGGCAAGAACAGGACCATACTCCTTGGATTCATTAAAATCTTTGGAAATGAAACACATGCTCCAAATAGTACCAGATATTGCTTGTACAGAGCTACCATTCCCTCCATCTTCAGAAGGATAAGAAATCCTCTAAAATTAAAGACATTAAATACATATTTTTAGTCTCTCCATCAACATCACTCATGACACAACTAATTGTAACCATCCTGTCTACTGAGGTTACAAGATGATGGCAGAAATCAATACCTCGTGAATAATATCACCCATAGACGATGTTGAGAGGGAAAACAGAGCAAAATGATCATGATACGCAGTGACAGCAAGAAAGAGACCACTGCAAAATGCATTACAGGAGTCAAAATTACTCGTGGCTAAGAAATAGCAACTCGTCAATTCAATTTCCTTAAAAAATCGAAGAGTGAGTACTTGGGCAATGGCCAAAACATACAGAAAATGTATATCTAAGTCATCAACACAAGAATGAGGTAACAAAATCATGGTTTATAAAACCGTACCTGGAATCTACTGTGAGCATTCTTCCAAGTTGAACTCTTGAGTTACCTAGGCTAGAAAGTTGAACATGTTGAATGGGCGAGAACCTACACAAAAGAGCAGTGAAATGAGTATGGTGACATTAAGCTTACGGGATAAATAAGAGTACACGAGAAAGAAACCTGTGCATTTCATTGCTAAATGAGAGAAAAGAGAGCTTTCCAGAATCAGAAAGAACAGCCAGAAGGTCTTTCCCCATCTACAAAAGATAACAGATGGTTGACATAACAAATCACAGAGATCTGCATTCCTATCACTAACAAAACAAGAGCTCGGTCGTTACCCATTTGAAAAATCTTTGCATGAGTAAAATAGATGATCAGTAAAATAAATTATTCCAAGTCTAAATGGAAAATGCTTACCTGCAAACGATTTGAATATAGTTTATTATTCTGAGGTATGACACATAAATCCTTAATTGTTCCAAAGACATTCTGTTCACAGACCGATTCAACAACCCCATCTTCACCAATAATCACCAATTCTATGCATGTCTCCTGGTAAGAGAAAAAAAAAAACATTCTAGTTACTGATAAAGCAACAAAATTTAACATACCATTATAACTGCCACGCACTACAGACGAAAGCTTTTATCACTGTATTTGTGCTCTGCAAACTATACATCCATTTGAAATAAAAATTTGCAAAACATTTTAAAACATCCTGATGCAACTACCATGCCCAGAAGAAAGCACACAACATTTCACAATGCCCTCAACAGAGAAAACAGCTAGAAAGTGGAAACAAGGTGCAGATACTCGAGTCGTATATCAACTCCACAAAATCCCAATCCCTAGAGGAGAGAGATTTAACAGAAAGAGTTTCTCACAAAAACAAATCAGAATCCAAATCCAAAAAGTAGAGATCAGTGGAAGACGAAGAAGGATGAACTCAGACCTTGCCGAAAACTATGTCGCGGGAGGAACGGGAGCGGAAGTAGCCATGAGCAACCTGGAGAACGACGCTGGGGCGAAGGATGCACTTAGCAAGGTAATGATCCCCGGCGGAGGAAGGAGAAGCGGATGGAGGAGCCGCCGTGGCAGAGGATGATTGAGACTGAGCGGAAGATTCATCCTCCGGAGCGGCCATCATCAATTCAAAGATACGGCAAGGGTCGTCGTGCCTTGGTTTAATTTACTCTCCGTCTTTGTGAAATTAAAAGGGCAAAAAATCTTGCAGTGACACACTGTTCCATAATATCTATCAGTCTTAATCCATTTTAACAAAATAAATTAATAAAATTTATCATTACATATATATACCCTAATCTGTATGATAAACAAAATTATACCATCTATTCCATTATTAGTAATTTAGTATATAGGTGGATGGTATACCCAAAAAAAAATTAAAGATTTTTCGGAGTTTAATTATACTCCGCCAAAAAAATATTAATAGAAAAGTGGATTTCCATTAATTGGAAAAATATGCGAAAATAACATAAAACGTATTTGTGAGTCTATAAAATTAGAGAAATTCTGCTTTGATGTACTGAATATTTGTGAATAAATAATAGAAGGATGAAGTGACATTTAATTAATTAAAGGGTAGATTTGTTTCATTTAGTTGGTAAATTAGATAGGAAAAAAAGGTATTTTTCAGTTTGCCCTTTAAAATTTTGTAGCTCTGAGCTGTTTGGTTTTAGGTAATTGTAAAATGTGATGCACTTGAGTAAAATCATTGCACTCGTTGCACCCGCACCCAAAAAAAAAAGTGTTGTATTGTAAGAAACAAAGAAACCAGTTAAAAAAGAGGAGAGAGTTTTTTTTTTTTATAATGGAAGAGGCGACCAAGTTGTGGTAAAAGAATAAAAGACCCGTTTATTGCGCCAAAACCAGAGGAGGTGCCTCTCTCTCTCTTTCTTCCTTCACCTTGATCTCGCCGTCTGAGATTTCCCTTACAGGCGTTTGTTAGTTCCCTGCTCCGATTTATTCTTGTCTGTTTAGGACACGAATTCTTTCTAGGTAATGTTTTTTTCTTCCATTCTTGTCTTTTCAATCCAATCCAATCCAATACAACAGTTGAATATGCTTGTACTCTGACCCAATTTCGAAGCTTTCGTTGGAAATCCGTAAAATTATGGATCGTGATTGTTGCTGTGATCGGAATTAAGAGTTGTTTCGTCTGAATTTTAGAATAAAGTAGAGATTTTGAATAAGGGTGTTTATGGATTTTTTTCTGTCTTGTTTCATTCAATGCATTTGTATTTTTGATCTGATCTAGGGATGCTTGGTTCTTCAGTTTGTGTGTTTTCTGCAGACGTATTTTGAAAATACAGCAATGGATCCTCCTGTGACGGATCTTGAGAGCATCGAGGATCAGAAAGAAGGAGGACCTTCCTTTCACTGTGATCTTTACGATACAGAAGTGGTTCACAAGATTGCTCAGGTCTTTCTCCCTGGATTAGCCACTGCTTGTGTCGATAACACTACCGGAGATATCTTCAGGAGTCCAGGTTCTGTGGCTGCTGACATTCGAAAAGAGATGATTGATTATATGAATCGCAGAAGCGAAAGCTTCGTGGCTGAACACATTGTTCTTCAAGGTGGTTCGGAGATCGAAGCTTCTCATGATCCTTTTGACATCATTTCTGATTTCATCGATGATTTCGCCACTTCTAAGCGCAATCTTTTCAGCCGGGTTTCGGGTTGGATGCTTAGCGAGAGGAGAGAAGATAATATTGATGATTTCGCGCAAGAGATGGAGATAAGCGGGTTCTGGTTGACCGATCATAGAGAAGAGATCGCTCAGACTTTGCTTAGAAACGTCGATTTTAAAAGCAGCTCTCATTGTGAGATGAAATTCCAAAGCCAAGGAGAACTCGCCGAGCACGCCATGAGTTGTGGGTATAGAACAATGAACTGTGAGAATGAGGGTTGTACTGCGGTCTTCTGCGCAAATCAGATGGAGAATCACGATTCTGTTTGCCCGTTCAAGATCATTCCGTGTGAGCAAAACTGCTCAGAAAGTATAATGAGACGCGAAATGGATCGGCATTGTATAACCGTATGTCCTATGAAACTTGTCAACTGTCCATTTCATGCTGTTGGTTGTCTCTCTGATGTACATCAGTGTGAGCTCCAACAACATCATTTGGATAATGTAAGCTCTCATTTGATGTACATTCTCCGGAGTATCTACAAAGAAGCCTCTCCGGATGATCTTAAACCCCGAGCTGAACAGATACAGCAGGTAAAAGATCAGAAAATACATTTTTCTCCATTTCAATATTTCTGAGCTAAATTTCTTGAGCTTAACGAGAATTTTGTTTAAAACTTTTGTGGTATGTTGCAGTTGTCGACTCAGTTATCTGAAGCCCGGAATGCTAGATCACTAACGAATCTGGTCAAGGAAATTGATGCAAAGCTGGGGCCTTTAGAAATCAAACCAAAGAATTTTACTAACTCTGAGTCTGATAAACCTGAAAATACAATAACGAAAGCTTTAGAAGAAGCTGAGATCAAAGAAAAACCGGAGACGAACTTAAAAGACGAGTCTTTGGAGCAAACCGCAAGGGAAGATGCAATGGTGGATGAAGCTGTAAAGAAAGTTTCAGAAGCTGAGATAGCAGACAATGTTAATGAAGAAGGCGAATTAAAAGCTCAAAAGCTTTTAGAAATAGGCGAGTTCATCAAAGAAGGAGACAACAACTCTGTAGATGATTTGTTAGAGAGAACTGAAACCAAAGCTCCAGAAGTTGTGGTCATGGATGAAGATAGAGAGGATGAGGAGAGTGCAGAAAAAAATGATTCGAGGACAAATGAATCAAGCAAAGGATTTGAGGTTGAAGTCAATGCCATGAATGATGAAGAGAATAGCGAGACAAAGAAATCAACTGAAACTGATACAGAAGCTCCATCGAGAATAGTCATGGACAAGGAGGAGGATGAAGAGACAATGAAATCAAAAGCTCGTGCTTCTGATGAAGCTGAAGCTCTGTCAAAGAGCTCTCAAGGTTTTTCGACAGCACAGGCTGAAACTGTACCCAATATGTCTTAACATCTTTTGTTGAGACAGACCCAACTCTTGAAAGCTAACATGGAGTGTTTGTTTTCTGTTCTTTTAACCGAGATTGTTTGTTTTGCCTGTCTGAAAAATATTAGAGTCATCAAATGTATCCAATTTTGTATAAGTTAAATGGATTGATTGCTTTTTTTTTTTTTGCAATACTTATCAATTGATTATGTATGATTGTGTCCTAGTACTGAAGCCCAATTCTGATTAACCGCTTCGAACCGAAATGGAGATCTCTTTTACCCAAAAGAACCAATTTAGTAGCAAACCGGAAAGAAAATAAACCGAAACGATCAAGTACTTTATTCTTCCGAACCGGAAAAAGGATTGGACACAACACAAACACAAGTCAAACAAACTTCGGCGTGCAAATGAAAGTAGCAGCGTAAAGAGTTGTTTTGTGTGGCTAGTGGTGGCATCAATGGAGCTCTCGATCTCGCAATCACCGCGTGTCCGGTTCTCGTCTCTGGCACCTCGTATCTTAGCAGCTTCTCATAATCACCATCGCCCTTCGATGCATTTAGCTGGGAGGTTTATAAGCCACTCTAAAGATGTTCACTTCACGAGCTTATCATCTTCGAGAATGCGGTCCAAATTTGTTTCAACAAATTATAGAAAAATCTCGATCCGGGTATGGTTTCATTCGAGGTTTCTCTTTCTTTGACAAGCGTATTTGCCGTTGCTCTGACTTTTAGACAATATTGGGTTAAGGTGAACTAAGAGTTTCCTAAAGATCAAATCTTGTATACTTTTTCTGGAACTGGGCAGCTCAGAAAGTTCAATTCTTTCGCAATCTTTAGGCCATCGATTTGTTCCAATTAGTAAACTGCCTTCTTTAACTTTTATTTTTTTTCTAAGTCCCATTGGTGGTTTTAAACGTCATCTAATTGTGGCGGAAGGTGCCTTTACCTCCCGTAATAAGTTAACCAAACAAAGTTGGATATTTTAGGATCACTAGGATTGGAAATGGTGAATGTTAGTATGATGTAATTATATTATTAGTTTTGATTTATAGTGCCTGTGCTTTTTGCAAAGTCACTCACAAAATTAGATACTGTCAGGCATGTTCTCAGGTTGGTGCTGCTGGTTCTGATCCAATGCTGGATAGAATTTCCCGGTTCCAAAATGCTTGCTGGAGATTTCTTAGGCCCCATACAATCCGCGGAACAGCTTTAGGATCCACGTTAGTATTTTGTTGCATATTGATTTATGAAGGGAGTTCATATTCTTTGCTTTCATTTATCATGACTTTACTTTTAATGGCAGTGCCTTGGTGACAAGAGCTTTGATAGAGAACACTCATCTGATCAAGTGGAGTCTTGTACTCAAGGCACTTTCAGGTCTTCTTGCTCTTATATGTGGGAATGGTTATATAGTTGGCATCAATCAGATCTACGACATTGGAATCGACAAGTATGTGCTACCATTAGATGTTGATGTACATTGGTCACTATTATTAGTTAATCTACATCAATGTTCCTAACTTTTGGTGCAATGATTCTTAGCTAATTTTCAAAACTCTTCATTAATGTACATCTACAAGTTTTCGCTATTTTGGATTCTAGATATAAGATTGAACTTTCATGAATTATAGTTGTCTTAGTTCCAGCCTTTGGGGCATCTTGTGTGCAATGTTTTACTTAACATGCATACGATCACTACTTTTGAGTCAGTATATAACCTGACTTGTTACTGTTTGAATTTAAATGATTTGTTTTGCAGAGTGAACAAACCGTACTTGCCAATAGCAGCAGGAGATCTATCAGTGCAGTCTGCTTGGTTGTTGGTGATATTTTTTGCGATAGCAGGGCTTCTAGTCGTCGGATTTAACTTTGGTCCTTTCATTACATCTCTATACTCTCTTGGCCTTTTTCTGGGAACCATCTATTCTGTTCCACCATTGAGAATGAAAAGATTCCCAATTGCAGCATTTCTTATTATCGCCACGGTAAAGGATGTTTTCTGCTTCTCAATCTAATAAATCAATTATCACCATATGTGATATTTTTTTTTTATGTTTTGGAAAGTTTTAATAACATATACACTGTATCGATGTTTACTTATCAGGTGCGAGGATTCCTTTTAAATTTTGGTGTTTACCATGCTACAAGAGCTGCTCTTGGACTTTCGTTTCAGTGGAGGTTAGTAGTCAAATGCACAATATTTAATATACATGTCGAATTAATGAGGACTTTGCATGTATGAATAGAGTTAAAATATGTGGTGGACAAGTTGTTCTTTGACAATGGAGCTAACAATTACTCAACTTATTCGGTATTTGCAGTGCACCTGTGGCTTTCATCACATCTTTTGTGACACTGTTTGCGCTGGTCATTGCTATTACAAAAGATCTTCCTGATGTCGAAGGAGATCGAAAGTAAGTAACTGCACACATAACATGTTCTCACCGGTCTTTGGCTTCTTCTATTTTACAATCCTGGTGTCTTTTCGAAACGTAACTAATAGTTTGTCCTGGATTAACCTATTCTGTTCAATTTATAGTCTTTATGTGAATGTTCAAGTGTGTTTAGTTAATCATGCATGTTCCTATTGATTAATTTTGAATAGGTTCCAAATATCAACCCTGGCAACAAAACTTGGAGTGAGAAACATTGCATTCCTCGGTTCTGGACTTCTGCTAGTGAACTATATTTCCGCCATATCACTAGCTCTCTACATGCCTCAGGTGAACACATCTCCCTCCAGTTTTTACCTCAATTCTTTCGGTTAATCAAAGCTTGAAAACCATTTACTACATGTATCAGCTTGATAAGCTGTTTCCACATGCATTATTGTCACTTTCTCGGTATGCAGCTTTGAAACACCATTCCTCTTATACTATAACAATCAACAGATTTTCAGAGGTAGCTTGATGATTCCTGCACACGTGATCTTGGCTTCAGGCTTAATTTTCCAGGTAAGCATCCCGAGACAATCATACTTCTCTTACATATAATGGTCAGCCTGTAATATTGCCCAAACAAAATCATAACCATATGCTTTATTTTCTGCATTTTGACAAATGCCACTTCATCGAATCTCTAATATCCCTGTTGTTGATTTTTGGTAGACATGGGTACTAGAAAAAGCTAACTACACTAAGGTAAAACATTTGTACATACTTAAACTTCTAATCACCAAAGATAAGTGGAGTGTGTATATCTAATGGGGGTGTAGAAACTTTTGGTTATTGCAGGAAGCTATCTCAGGATATTATCGGTTTATATGGAATCTCTTCTACGCAGAGTATCTGTTATTCCCCTTCCTCTAGTTTTATTTGTATATCTTCCTTTTCTTTGTAACTTGGCAGTCAAAATCAGTTTGTTCATGTACATACCAAAGGATATGTCTTTTTGAATTTTGATATCTTGCAATAATATTTCTTGTTACCAATACAAACACCAGCTTTCATTAGTATAGATCACCGTAAAAGAATAAATCAGAATTCATTCTACTAATGTTCATGAATTCAATATGTACTACTACTAATCCATGATAAATTTTATCAAAATCCATAAAAGAAAAAAAAAATACAATTTCAGTATAATGTATTGTTCAGTTTATATGCATATTAACGAACGTTTCATGACTTCATCTAGAGAAGTAATTCCCTAAACCATAAAAAGATTCGAAATCATGTTAGCCCGCGAGTAAACCCGCTAACCAGAAATAAACCGTTGAATCCGTTAACCCGGTTCCTTACTGGATAAAAACAAATGGAAGCCCATTTTAACAGCGAGCTTTTATTAGAGCCCAAAACCCTAATTCCGATCTATATAAAACAAAGTGATATTAGGGTTTTCGTTCGTCCTCTTAAAGCTTTTAGTTTTCTCTGCCGTCTCTCTCATTCGCGCGACGCTACTCTATTTCAGGTGATCTTGTTTCTCCAAATCCCTTTGTCGATAACTCTGCATTCGTATTTGTGGAGTTGGCTCATCACTCTGTTTCTCTTTTAGCCATGGCCGCCGTCGCAGAAATTGACGCTGAGATTCAGCAACAGCTCACCAACGAGGTCAAGCTCTTCAACCGATGGACCTATGACGACGTTTCGGTAATTTCTTCAGCTTTCATTCTCTTAAATGTGTGCCTGGAACCCTTTGTCTGTTTCTCTTTGATTCTCTAGCTACTGTTTCATCTCGCAGATTCAGTCATTTGCAAACTTAGTTTAGTGAATTAGAATTTGTTGAAATCATTTATAGCCCTTTTCAATGCATCCTTCTCTTTGGTTGTGATGGGTATTTCCGATGTTTCAATGCTATTAGCAAGTTGGATTAAAAGCTACACCTTTTCCATGTCTTGTTTTCAGTTTTCAATCTATCCTTATACTAGAGGCGTTTCTTATTAGATTGATATCTTGCAATTGTTTGTATGTTCACACTTTTTTATGCAGAAATGAGATTCAATTTTTATAGTTCTGTAGCATAGCTGCAGGAACTTTAACTTTCACTGTTTCGTGATTTGCACTTTTATTCTGTTAAAGAGTAATCACTGTTTCGATTTCATGAGATATGATTCTTAGTGTTTGTAAGTAACAGTTTGTTTTCTCCATCTTTTAGGTCGCAGACATCAGTCTTGTTGACTACATTGGAGTTCAGGCAGCTAAACATGCTACCTTTGTCCCCCACACCGCTGGAAGATACTCTGTGAAGAGATTCAGGAAGGCTCAATGCCCCATTGTTGAAAGGCTCACTAACTCTCTCATGATGCACGGAAGGAACAATGGAAAGAAATTGATGGCAGTTAGGATTGTCAAGCACGCCATGGAGATTATCCACCTCTTGTCTGACTTGAACCCAATTCAGGTCATCATTGACGCCATTGTCAACAGGTACTACCAAGCTTGTGATTTGCTAATCTGCCAGCATGTTTATCCTAGAATATCATTGCAGCTAGGAATGTTTTCTTTTCTTTCTTATTAACGTTTGATGTTTGATCCAGTGGTCCACGTGAAGATGCTACCAGAATTGGATCTGCTGGTGTTGTTAGAAGACAAGCTGTTGATATCTCTCCTCTAAGACGTGTTAACCAAGCTATCTTCTTGATTACCACCGGTGCTCGTGAAGCTGCTTTCAGAAACATCAAGACCATTGCTGAGTGCCTTGCTGATGAATTGATCAACGCAGCCAAGGGCTCTTCCAATAGGTAAAATACACTCCAAATGACTACATGATTTTAACATATATTTTAAGCAAAACAATCTCTAATGATATAACTGTTGTGTCTTGCAGCTATGCCATCAAGAAGAAGGATGAGATTGAAAGAGTTGCCAAGGCCAATCGTTAAGGATTTTGCTTTTGCCCTGATGGTTACAATCTTATCAATGAGTTCAATGTTTTATTTTCGTTTAGATTGAAATATGTGTCTCAGATGTTTTGCTCGTTTGTGTTATGAAGTTTATTTCGTCTGAACTACTTTGAATAGATAAATTTTGATGCGAAATAATTTTGATGCTTCAAGCTATTTCGCATCAGACTATTTCCCAAGTGTTTTAACTTATCATACTGACCACCCGAAGCCTAGAAGGCTTTTTGTTTCGTATTGGCAAAACTTCTTTATATGATTTGTATGTCAGTCGAAAGTTCTTCGATTAACAAATCATTGTAAATATTCAACAACAATAGCAGAGCAGTAACAGGCTAACAAGTCTTCGCTTCATTATTCGATTCATATTTTCATTGACATAGTACACTTTAATTTCGTACCACGACACTCTATTTTTTTTTTTTTGGATTGGTTTTTTTTTTGGATTGGTATATTACAACGAGTACACACACTTTATTTGAAAAACATATTAATAGCAAAAACTCGTATAGGTAGTTGCATGTTACTTAGTCATTAGCTCCTTGGGTGGCTTGACAATAAGGATGGGACAATTGGCGTGATGAGCGCAGTAATCGCTAACGCTCCCAATAAACGCTCTTCCGAAACGCACAAAGCAAACAAATTGAAAAGCGGTCAATACGTTTTGATCAGTTCGGTTAATTCAAAATGATATTAGTAAAAATGTAAATATGTAATACAATACCTTTTGATCTTGCCAAGGCCACGACTACCCACAACAAGAAGATCAACGTGCATCTGCTCCACCGCCTCGCAAATCATCTCTTTGGCTTCCCCTTCGAGCACTAGAGTTTCAGTTCGTATCTACACATCCATTCATTTAGTTAATTAGTATTTGGGTGAAATATGTGTTTTCGAATCATATATATTCCTTTTAATTCGGACCTGTTTGGCTCGGCACATTTGGAGAGCACGAGAGAGAAGTGCAGCAGAGGTCTCTTGTTGTGCTTTTTTCACTGACTCTATCATTGTCGAAGATGCGTACACTGCTGCTATATCCACAAAATAACATTCTTATTCTTACTAACAATCATATTTGTTTTTCCTTTTCGTGTCAATGATGAGTTCATGACTGACTAGACCGTTCTGTTTCGAGGATACAAATCATTTTCCCCTCTAATATGCACTATAATTTATCTAATACTGTAATCATTAATCGTTAAACCATATTATATAATCCGTTATATATAATATGATTGTATTAAGTATATTAATCAGAATTATATAAGAAGAGTGAGATCAAAAGGACGAGGACCTGTGGCGCCGCCCGGTCCAGCCGGAAAGGCAGCAAAGTGATGGAAAGGTGACTGGACATGAACCACCGTGAGCATTCCACCGTCCCCCTCAGCCGCCTCAGTAGTCATTAAGAGGTTAGAGAAATGATCAATGACCCATTGGAGAGCGTAGAAGCTCGAGTCGCTCTCATCGATCGCAACCATCATCCTCTTCGTCTTAGGCACACTAGGTGCAGCTTCAGCCTCTGGCTGCTTCTCCACCGCTGTTGTTTCCATCGCCGTAGCCGCCCCTTGATCTTCTGCCATTGATCTTTGTTTCGTTTTTAATAGTCTTTTTTTTTTACTATAAGTGAATGATGTGAGCAAACTCTGTTTCGTTAGCAACCCTTTTTATATTGCATGTAGAGGGATGATACGTCTCGAAGTGTACCGGACACGTGGCATGCAAGGCTGAAACGTGCAATAGGATATACATAAATCATTACTTTACAAATATTTTTAAAAAGGAAATATAATATATAAAAAAAGTTGTGTGCGATATGTTTTAGTGGTATGTTGTTTGTTTGCTAATGGTTTTGCTTTCATCGTGGCCATCTCTATCCTGATCCTTTTGCTTTTAATTCTTAAACGCCACTCAATGTAAAGAGAACGGATAAAAAGAAGCTGAAAGAAAAACTTTAGTTGATCAATTTGAAGATATCATAAAGAGATTAAATGTTAGTATTTTAGTAAAGTAAAAATAATTAATTAAGCTGATTATGCAATTGCCAATGATGGGTTATAATATGAGATTATAGTGTGGTAGGGGAATAAGAGTTACTTATAAGAACACTTGGAAAGTACAAATTAAATGATGATTATGCATGTGATTAAAGTAATCTAACGTTGTAGATGGAAACATATTGCATCATCAAATGTAATTTGTTCGTTTCTTTAATCTAACCGTCACCGTCCAGTAAGTTTCACGTACACTTTAACCGTCACAAAGTTGCCTAACATAATTGTCGTGATCCGAAATGATTTTTCAAAATAGTGTAGATATTGAATTAATGATGGTTTTATTAACAAAACAAAATGAAAGTTTGAAGTTTGAAAATATATAATTTGGATTTAGAAACTGGAGCTTATAAAATAGTTTGATCTCCTATACTTTACGTTTCTGTAAGAACGATATACACTTGTTGAATCATTGACGCTTTTAGTATAATTTTCCATTCCTCTAATTAGCAAAACGTTAAGGTTTCGAATACTTCCAACGAAATAAAAAGAATCGAAAAAAGGAGTAAAAGTAAGAAGATGATGATGTTATCGTAACAGAAAAAAGCTTCTAAAGTTCTATTCATTTATGCTTTTGAATCTCAAACTATGGTGCTATAATACTATATGCACCTATAGTATACTAATTTATGCTTTTGATTATCAAAAATGATTTTTATGATTTTGTGTTTACATCATCATAAGAAAAGAAGAAAATGAGCTAATTATTTTGTATAGGTGCATATATATAGTATTATAGCAGTGGATCATGGACAAAAATAATTAAATGAGTAGTTAATATAGATCAAAAGTTTAATTTCAATTGTTAATAGACCAGTCATAGTCTTGGTAAACAATGTTAACAGAACCTCCTCCATCACCAAGAAGATGGGTTAAAAGACCTGCTTTGTTTGCATCTATATAACTCATTATCCACTTGAACATTTTCTTATCTTCAGTAAAATCCTCTTTGTACCTACATTTATCACAAGAAACAAACTAGTGATCAACACTCTCAGTTTCATCAACACATAAAATTTAAATTTAAAACGTCATCTGAGCTATGATTTACACTCTCATTTTGGCTAACCGTTTGATTAATTACATGCATGCATGGTGCCTTTGTCCAATTAGATGGGAAAGTTTGGGAATTAGCAGAGTTTTATTTAAAATCCGACTAGCAATTAAGCGTAATTACCATATGATTAATCTCATTGACATTAAGTATGTCTCATAATATCAATATTCAATGTAGATACTATATTGTAAACAGAATTAATTACCACTTCATGATTCTTGATAGATGTATGGTCCTCTTGTCCAAGGCAATCTCAATTCCACCATTTTGAAAAAACTCTCTAGCTGCTCGTTTGAGCTCAGCTTCAACTCCTTGCGGTGTGAAAAACCTCACCACTGGACTTGATTTGGTCCCATCGCAGAGCCCAAAATGTACTAATGGATTCAGTTTTTGAAGACCAAGCTGCCATTAAACCATAAGATTATATACATGTAGGATGTATATCTATATGAGTACAGACCTGGAAACTCTAAGCTTACCTCATGGTGTGTATTGCCGTTTATCATGGATATAAATGGATTAGAAAGTCTGTGACCGCCTCGAAGGATGTCATTCCGGATGGAGCTAAGGGAATAAGAGTAGCCTCCTACAACGTACTGAAAATCTGTAAAGAATGACCTTCTTGCGATCATTCCCTCGGGAAGTCCGATTCTAATCAAGGCATGGATCACCATTGCGTTGTACAAGTTCAAGAAAAATGCTAACTTCTCTTCCTTTGAGAGTTCCACAAGATTCAAACGGTGAAGGTCTTGAGCCATATTTAAGTACCTTTAATCATCCATAGCCAAATGCATAAGTCTCAAAGATTGTATAAATATATGAACCAGAATTTAAGCATTAACATATTCCTAAACTAAAACCAGTTAAAACACTCCTTAAATCGAACATCATCGTACCTTCTGAATTCTTCGCTCTGGCTAATTCTCATGTAGTCAACACTAGTATGGTCATTGGAAGAATAAGACTCAAGAATAGCAATCATGATTTTGAAAAGCCTCTGCCCAACCACGGCTGCACTTTGGGGCTCCATGTCGTTGGTGGAACCTCTAAAATTGTAGCATTTTGAAATAAATGGCTCGTGCTCAAGGAAACGATAGTAATGATTGCCATCTTCAAACTCGTTTTCTCTACAAATGTTTTTTTTTTCAAAAAGATAAGAAAATTTAGGAAAAATCCACAAAATAATGCTAACAACTCATGCAAAATTCCTTTACGAAAGAAATAGGGAATGAAATTTATGTACCCAAAGACATGGTGGATAAAGTGTTTCTTGGCTAGCCTCTTGCCAATCTCGATGGCCTGCATAAGAACGTGAACAATAGCAAAGCTTTATATTTGAAAACATCAAGATTCAAGAATTACGTCATGTAGATGAAGAAAATATTATTGCCAAATGTTACATACAAATTTCGACCAAGGTAATAAGGATAATTCATATCAGATTATGCTCAGTTCAGATACTGATCCAAAATAAACTTGTCTAACATTGGTTTTAAAATAACACACTCATTTATTGAATCGAAGTTTATTTCACATGAAGGAAAATATGATGACCACGTAAGAGCATCTCCACTCCAGAAATTAGTAAGAATACTTAAAATTAAATGCATGATATAATTATTATTAAAAAAGAGAGAGAAATGAGAGAGTTGTCGGAAAGAGAGAGAAAAGTGAAAGAGCTGTTGAGTAAAAAAAAAAAAATGGAGAGAAATATTTTTTTCCTTTCTCTTTTTTTTCTTCAACCAATGGCGAAATGCCACGTTGCGTTGCTAGAGGGATCCTTCTGTTGCTTGAAGAAGCAACGTTCCTTCCTTTAATGGGCCCTATTTCTTCAATTTACATCAATGCTTGGCCCACTTTCTAGTTAAGTAACCCTTTAAAACTAACCAGTGGAGCTGGTCTAAGTAATAATTTAGTGACTCTACATACTGTATTAAGGAAAAACGAAATAGAATTATTCCCTTCTAAAAGGAAATATAAAAATATACATTTTCATATATGCATGGAATCACAAATGTTCGATTTGACTGCCGAAGAAGAATAAGATCTAAATTTACCAAAAATAATTAGTCATTGGTCAATCAATCAATCAATCAGATGAGAAATTGGAATGAAAAATCTTTTGAGATTTGATTAAACCTGATAATGAATTCAAACAAAACTTGGTATAGGTGTCCACGTAAAGATAGCATAGGTGCGTAACACACGATCAGTATAAAAATTGATGAAATGACACGTACGTGTACGTACCTTGATCCTCGGACAAGCCAAGTGATGAATGAGTATCTCGATCATCTCACCGCCGGAGAAACAGTTCTTAACGATCTTCATCTTCATCAAACGGTCTTTAATCGGTAGCTTCTGTCTCAAAACCCTGACGAAACACATCATCTCATCACCAACAACGTCCTTATTACTCTCTTCGTCGAACCCGTACATGACCGGCAACGGCGCATCGGCGGGACATTTCTCAGTCAAAAACTCCTTGATCCTCTGATCGAACTCCCCACTGTTTCTCAGTGAATTCAACGCAACGAATCCTCCCAAGTGTTTCTCGTTGAAGAAGATCTGAGGAACTTGAGAGTTCCCTGTTCTCTCGATCAGCTCTTTCTCTCTCTCTGTATAAACGTCGATGTTGATCTCCGAGTAATCGAAGCCTCGTTCCCGGAAAAACAACCGGACGGCGGTGGAGTCTCGGCAGTTAGATCTCGAGAAGAATGTTACACGACCTCTGATCTCTTCTTCGCTTTTCAGCTTCACCACGACTTTGACTCCGGAGATATTGAACTCGGTCACGTCGGATCTGGCAACGGCGTCGTCACAAACCGAGAGGCGTTTCGAAATCGCGTCTCCGCTTTGTCGTACGAATCTCATCAAATCGGCGGTGAATTTCACCGGGGGAGGCAACAGCTCTTCTAAGGAGACAAGACGGCCACGTGGCGGTTCGAGTTTCGGGAGCAGAGGATGTGGTGTGAGAATCTTCAGGTGATGTGGACCGTCGTCGTCGTGGATCGAGATTTCCTTCATCGGGATTTGAGTTTCTCCCGGGGACTTACGAATGAGTGTGGCGGGATGATCGTGATTGCTACCGTTAGAGTTTGAATTTGAATATGGAGAAACAAAAACATTATCCCAAGAGATATTGTTGCTTCCTTTACCGTTTCTAACTCTCTCAGATTTTCTCCGACTTTCACGACAAAATTTAATTTTTCCACTGAGAATTTTTCCTAGCTCCATCTCTAGAGTTCTTTTGCACCTTAATGTTGATGATGGAGATTTATATATAAAAAAGCAAATTTAGGTAAACAGAGGGTAATTAAGCAGTTTTGGTAAGTGTAGAATATAAAGTTTCATGCACATCTCCAATAGTCAAAGTACAATGCAACTCATTTATGAACTTGTCAAAAACTAAAAAAAAAAAGTGATTTTGCATATGATCAGATTTTATGAGAAATTAACCAAACCATATGAATCCGTCCCAAGCAAGATTAAACCATGGTATTACAAACAAAAAATTAATCAAGTCAGAGCCGAACAATAAAACAACATTAAAAAAAAAAAAACTCAACTACAATTAATTTTCTTAAGCATTCTATTCCAAATTGTTTATTTTGCTCTGTCTTTCAAAACTCTGATGTTTCAAAACACAGCCCACCAACACTAAGGAGTATATCAGCATGACCTCGTAGCGAAGTGTTTGTTTTAGTAAGGAAATGTCAAAGAAGAGCAACCGAGATATCATTACCATGCATGGAATAAATATATAGCTGGCTTGTCAATTGTCATTCCCTAGCGAGGATGATCATACATAAACCATAAAATGACTATGGTATATATAGTTACATAAATTTTGTATTTGGTGTACATTGGAATCATCCATGAAGTTAAAAGTCTATGCCAATAATAGTCCAATATAAAACAACACACTAGAAATAAAATCCACGACCAGACAATATATACGCATATCTCTATGGATTTCATCATCATCACTCAGTTTGAGAAAACGAAGACAGCTGAAATATTCAATCGATGATTGTCATAAAGAAGATGAATGTTAATAATATAACTCAATATGTTGTCGACCTACTCAGAGAAACGAGTGCAACAGATATTTACAGACATAGTCTTCAAAAAGTGATAACCGACATACATAAGTTTTCTTTATACAAGAAAAAAAGAAGTTAGTTGTTGTTGTTGTAAATAGCCATAGAGAAAATTAACTAAACCCCCATTTGATTCAATATAAATGTTACAGAAGTTTCTATCCTTTTGGTGGTAAAAGCTACTAAGACATAATCTACCATGAACTGAAAAAAAGTATTTGATTCGACTATATGAATTATCATTGGTGCCGGCCGGTCTACAATGCAATTTTGTTAATCTAGGTATTGGTTTGGATTGTTGGATTTTTAGTTAAAGCAAAAAAACAAATACAAAATTCAATTGCGGGTTTGGCTTTGGTTCAATTAGCATTTTTAGCAAATTTTATGTAGATTTATTTTTATTTTTAAATTTAAATTTGATCTTTTTCTTTTTTGATGTTAATTTATTTTGATTACATTTTATTGCTATAGAATAAAAGAACACCAAATTTAAGTTCACTTTATTCATTTTATATTATTGAATACCTCAATCCTCAAATAATAATATATATACAACCTTTTGTGGTGATAAATAACATTATAATAAAGCAATGTTAAATATGATATGTCAAAAAGTGCAAAACTTATAAATGAAGGTTGATAAGTATTGTTCTACTATTTTTAGTACATTGTTTACATTTAAAGTATTGTGACAGGAAATATATAACAAAATCTAAGCATTAATTTCCGTATGAAAATTTCCTAAAATATACTTATGAAACTTGCATTTCCATTTAACCTTATTTTTAACCTTTTAGAATAATAATAATAGAGAAGAAAATTCAAAACAAACTTGAAGGACATTTCTGAAGCTGAGAAGTAGAAGAGAAGCCCAAAAGTTCATCGAAGACCTCCACACCGTCACGGTCACAGTCACGTTCAAGCCACGTGGAGAGAATTAATTGGTATTGGCATGTACCTGTCGCATTCTTATTAGCCTGTCACGCTCCACAGACGAAGCCTCAGGGGAACGTATAAATCTGAATCCGAATAGTATTTGGAATTACAATTCAAACCCTTAATTTTAGTGAAAATATCGTTATTATCCCTATCGAAAAGCGAGAAAGAGTAAGAAGAAATAGCGAGCGATTGATCTCTCCTTCTGCAAGTTCTCTATTTCTTCTTCCCTCACTTCTTCTTCATCTTCTTCTTCTCTCGTTTATCTGTTCGACGCTCTCTTCTACTTCCCGATCCAACCGTGAATCGCTCTCGGAGCAATGACTATGATGACTCCGCCGCCGCTTGATGTAATCTCCGATTAGCCTTGTTATTGTGTTCTGTGTCAATTTGTTGTCGTGTTCGTGGGTTTTTACGCGTATTCCACCTGCTTCTGCTTCTGCTTCGGATTCGTTGTTCTCTTCGTTTGGCTGATCCATTAGGGTTTTGTTTCATTTTTTTTTTCTCTGTATTTCGAAAGCGGTAGAATCATAGGGAGATTACCGTGACTTCGGTGATTGCGGTTTCTGTCTGACGCTCTGATCACGGGGTTGGGAACTTAGGGTTTCTATTAGTCAGAAGTCTGATTTTTTTTCTTACGGTTTTGACAGCAGCAGGAAGATGAGGAGATGCTTGTTCCGAATCCGGATTTGGTCGAGGGACCTCAGCCTATGGAAGGTAAGATTTTCTGCTTCTCCTACTCCTTTCTGTGTTATACTCTGATTGGTTTGGTGTAGATACTACATCACTTGTGGATAGTGCTGGAGTGTAAAATTAGTGTTTTCACTGTGCGCTAGGGTTTTGTCAGTTTTTGGTTTTGTGGATTCCTAAACAGTTGTTGATGCATTTGTAGTTGCCCAAACTGAGCCTGCTGTTTCCACTGTGGAGAATCCGCCAGCGGAGGATCCTCCAAGTCTGAAATTCACGTGGACCATCCCAATTTTCACCAGGCTCAATACCAGGAAGCATTACTCTGATGTATTTGTTGTTGGAGGTTATAAATGGTAATGGCATACACTTTTTGATGCTTTTTTTGCAATTGATGTCCGGATGTGCATTTCATTGGTTGACGTCATGTGAGCTGTTTTTTTTTTAAAAAAATTTTCTTTCTCTTGCAGGCGTATATTGATTTTTCCCAAAGGAAACAATGTTGACCATTTGTCCATGTACTTGGATGTTGCTGATGCAGCGAATCTGCCGTACGGGTGGAGCAGATATTCACAATTCAGTCTGGCTGTCGTGAATCAACTCAACAGCAGATTTAACATCAGAAAGGGTACCTTAGCTTATTAATTTCGTTCTCTGAATGCATGCATAAAATGTATATTTCCTGGAAAATGTTTATACATGTAGAGATAATTGTGGATTTGTAAGAGGAGTATAATGGTATACCTTGGAATGGATTCAAGCTACCTCAAAACTGAATTGGGAATGACTAATCGTTATGATTTTCATGCACTTTTTTTGAAATTTTTAAGAGCCAATGACTTTGCTACTTGTTATCTGGTCAACCAGCTGTTCTGATAACTTTCTTTTTGCATGTTGTAGAGACGCAGCATCAATTCAACGCAAGGGAAAGCGATTGGGGTTTTACATCATTCATGCCTCTCAGCGAGCTCTATGATCCAAGTCGAGGATATTTAGTGAATGACACTGTTTTGATTGAAGCTGAAGTTGCTGTGCGTAAAGTTCTTGATTACTGGTCATATGACTCAAAAAAAGAGACCGGTTTTGTTGGACTTAAAAACCAAGGTGCTACATGTTACATGAATTCTCTCCTGCAGACGTTATACCACATACCTTACTTCAGAAAGGTTAGATGCATGTCTTGTTTTCTTCTTCCGTTTGCTTAATCATGAGTTCCCTAAATTCTGTGTAAAGACATCTGAATAATGCACCCATGCTTGTAGGCTGTGTATCACATGCCAACGACTGAAAATGATGCACCGACTGCCAGTATCCCATTGGCGCTCCAGAGTTTGTTTTACAAGCTTCAGTATAATGACACCAGTGTAGCGACAAAGGAGCTGACAAAGTCATTTGGTTGGGATACATATGATTCTTTTATGCAACATGATGTCCAAGAACTCAACCGAGTTCTCTGTGAAAAGCTTGAGGACAAAATGAAGGTAAATTTTCTTCTTCATGCCAGACTTTCTTCCATTCCCAGTTGGTATTTTATGTTTTATTTCTATGCGTTTTTAAAGGGAACTGTTGTGGAGGGAACAATACAAAAGCTATTTGAGGGTCACCACATGAATTACATTGAGTGCATTAATGTAGACTACAAATCTACTCGAAAAGAATCATTCTATGGTATGTACTTTTACAAAGTAATGCATTTTCCGTTGTCTTATTTTATGAAGCTGATATATTAATATCAAACTAACTCTACAGCTGTGTATTTTGACTTGTAACAGACCTCCAGCTTGATGTTAAAGGATGCAAAGATGTATACGCTTCTTTTGACAAGTATGTTGAAGTTGAACGCCTTGAAGGAGACAACAAATACCATGCAGAAGGACATGATTTGCAGGTCGGCTGTCTTCTCTCTTTCTTTTATTGGTTTCTTGGGGATGTTGAGAAGTGTACTATGCAAGTCAATCTAGTCTATCATTTTCTGCATATTATTTGGCATAGGGTTCCTAATGCGTGTGGATATTACCAAGCAAGCTAAATTAGGAAACTGTACAAGTATACAAAGCTAAATAAACCTAATAATTTTCAAAGCAGCTGAATGTTGTATTTGACTAATTGTCATTGTCACGATGAACTAGAGTCTGCTTTTCTAATCTTATAGTCAAATGATTCTTGTTTTTGTTTTTGTTTTCAGGATGCAAAAAAAGGTGTTCTATTCATAGACTTTCCACCAGTTCTTCAACTTCAGCTCAAGAGGTTTGAATACGATTTTATGCGGGACACAATGGTGAAGGTTAGCATTTGAAATTCCACATACCCAACAAAAACAGCATGTAGTGCTGACTGTGTTTAGACTTGATTATAGGCTGAAGTTGCTTTATTTACAGATTAATGATCGGTATGAGTTTCCTCTTCAACTGGATCTCGATAGAGAGAATGGAAAATATTTATCCCCGGATGCAGACAAGAGTGTTCGCAATCTCTACACCCTCCACAGGTATATCTTTTAATTGTAATATA